AAATATTTGAAAAAAAAATATAAATAAAAAAATGCCTATTAACATATCATAGAAAATGGGTCTACTTTAAGTCTGACCTGGACATGCCATTTCCTAAAATGAATGAGTCATGTAAAACTTTGAACACTATTTCAGCCACATATAGTACTTTGAACTCTATTTTCAGCCATGTGTAACACTTTGAACACTGTGTTGATGTTAAATTGTTCTTTTCCTTGTTTCATTTGTGCCAAATATTATTTACATTTTTATTTTGTCATGATAAAAGGTTTTATTAAAGTTTAATCAAGCATAGTGATTTTGTTGTGTTTTTGTTGCTTTATATATCAAGCATTTACTGTATTAAAAGTAGTTTTTTCAGTTTAAAAAACTTCTTGCAATATACTGCAATACATATAAATATATACTATTGCTTTGAACAGCTTTACATAGCATGCATTTTGCGCAATATGAAAATTCTCTGCAATACCCACCCCTATTTAACAGCGTCTGTAAATCAACAGCTCTGGAGAGCTTGTGAAACTTGTCAGTCAGTCAGTCAGTCAGTTTTACTGTTGCTTTGAACAGTTTTATCATAGCATGTCAGTTTGACGAGGAAGGAACAACCAAAGTTAAGCAGGGTCTCAGACATTCTCCAGTTTGATGAAACTCACTGACATGAACATGTGGGTGTAGGACTAACAAACATAGAAGCACACTTGTGGAGAAGCAGGACAGTCATAAGTATGAAAGACACAAACTCTACACAGTGCATTGTGGCCCCTCAGACAAATGGGCCACCTGTGCCCCTATACAAATTACAATACCAAGAATAACCAGAACCAATCTACAATCTAAACTCTAAATCAGGACTCTAAAATCATGATCAACAGAACTAAGCACAGCTATGAACGATGTGGCACTGCAACATCTTTAGCTTTCATGGATGTGTAGCATACTAGAGAAGGGAGTCAGAAAACAGTTTTTATATAACATATTCAGTTGTAGATGAAGACTTGCAGGCTGTGTCATCACCACAAGTCTGGAGCATGAGTAATTATGCCACAGTCAAAAACAAGATCATGTGAGCCACCTTGCAATAACATGTCACCCTAAAAACCCTTATGACTGTTTAGTAAGTATGTCAGTGAGTGAGCGTGGTTTTATGCTGCTTGTAGCAATATACCCATGTCTGAAACAAACAAAGGTCTTCAGTGTCATGAGCGAACACTTTAACCACACTAGTATCTATTTTGAATTAGGAGAAAAATATCAATCCTTTAGCATTTCTTATTTTCAATGATTGCCAAAGACAAGATGATTTAAATTGACTTTAATACTTGACCAGTGTGACCCTATTAAAAATCTGTGTGAAGCAAAACACAAGGCAAACCACCTTTCTAAATTTGTTGACATGGTGCCTAGATTAGTTGATAAAATCTACTGATGAAGCCATGCATGTTCGTAGCTGCCATAAATACCCGAAGGGGAATGACAGTCAATACTTGACTACAGCTCATGGGAGATAACTGTGGTAAGGTTGTGAAACTACCATCAGTACATGGTCAGTTCAACTCAGAAACAAGATAGCTCTTATCAAATGTATTAAAGACTGACGCTAACAGCCTATTGCACAAGAACTGGGAGCTTTGCATATCTGAAGAAAACATATACCGTTCAAATATACACCAAATACACAGTGCTTGGTTTGGAATGTTGATAAAGAAAAATGCTTCAATAATCAGTCAAATGTAGGCTCTTGCAATGCACTGTGTCAGACATAAAGCAGATTACTTGATTACCTGATGAACCAAACACACAAAGTCTTGTGAACAAAGAAAATATAAGGGGAGGTAACTTGAAACCATCAATAAACTGTGATCTCTACTCAAATCTGACAAACATAAGTATAAAAAACCATTAATGAATGGGTTGGTTTGAATTGGTTGTTATTTCACACCGCAATCAGCAAACCTCAAGCTATATTGTGGTGATCAGTAAATAATTGAGTCAGGACCAGACAATCTAGTGATCAGTCACATGTGCATCGATCTACGTAATTTCAATATGATAACATGTGTCAACCATGTCAGCGAGCCTGACAACCCATCCCGTTAGTCGCCTCTTACGACAAGCATGGGTTACTGAAGACCAAGTGTAATGGGATCTTCATGGGTTTAATTTATAGAAACAAACACACAAGAAATTGCTTGCATGGCCAGTGAACTGCTTGCATTATATTTTTAAGTTGTGACAATTAAGAAGCTAGCATCAATGTTTGACCGTGTAAATATTGTGCTAAGATGACTTCAAATACATCCATAAAGTTTGCCCTTGAACTTCATATAGCTGGACTACACTCTCGTCATTAAATTATTGATTATCTATATAATGAGAATTATCAATCTCATACTTAGAGGTCAGTTTCCAACCCGACTTCTGTGCATGGCCCTACTTGATTGTCGATAGGTTTCACAACTGGTGATTAAGTTGGTCTAGTGCAAGTGAAATCAGCTCAATTCATTTCAAAACTTTTTCAGCACAGAATACTGTACTTCTGAACAAAAACAAACGCTGTTTTAAATTTGGACTCAATTCAGTGAGTGAGCAAGTAAATGTTTCATGTTACATGCAGTTTCTCTTAAAAAGAAATACAGCCTTTTCAGTTGACTTCACATGCACTGAGCTTAACGCAGATGAAAAGGCAATAAAAGCTGTCATCACTCCAAATCTTCAAAGCCTTTGATTGTCAATGAGAACCTGGACACACGTTTTCACTTTTGGTTCAGAATACCGACATCACCTCATTTGTAGAAGCAAGCTGGAGCAATCATACAGATATTTAAATCAAATGCATGCTGTTCCCTGCCTGCACCCTTTTCAAAGCCTCAACATGTGGCCTTTTCATTTTTTCAACAATTTTTAACCAAGGGCAGGTAATTCTAACTGGCTTCATGTATTGTCAGTATAGAATAGAATAAAATAATACTTTAATGCCTTTTCAGGAATTTGTGTTACATCAGCAGAGCTACTCACACATCAGAGAGATACAAAACATATTTACATAAATTCATTGATTTAGGTATCTTCACATTTGTTAAGAGGGATATGGTACTTGGAATAAAGGATGTACGGGCTCTCTTAGTTTTCACAATTGGAACTTTGTAGTGGCGGCCTGAAGGGAGGAGGTTGTATTCCGAATTTAAGTAGTGAGTACGGTCAGATATAATTTTGACAGCTTGATTCACGATTTGCCGCTCATATATTGATGATAAACATTCAAATCTGACTCCAGCAATTTTACTTGCAGTGTTAACAATTTTGTCTATTTTAGATGCGAGATGAACTGAGAGAGACCCGTACCAACAATGGAAGGAAAATGTTAAAATACTCTGAATAAATGCTGCATAAAAAGATGACATCACAGATGGGTTAACATTAAAAGATCTCAGTTGACACTTTTTGTATAGGGCTTCAGTGTTAGAGTTCCAGTTCATCGTAGAGTAAATGAAGGTTCCCAGATACTTATACTTGGACACTGTCTCAACACATTCACCGTTGATTACCACTGGAAGCATTTCTGTGGGCTCACTCCGAAAGTCAATTATCAGTTCCTTTGTTTTTGTGCCATTTAAGAGTAAGTAGTATTCTGCACACCAAATCGTGAAATGATTAATGTCCTCTTTATACATTTCTTCAGATTTGTGATGATCTGGATCTGAATTCAAACAGCCAGTGTACATCTGTTGATAGCCAAGAAACATCCTGAGACAACTGTCCCAGAGAAATCAAACACTGAAATTCAAGACATTTTCCAAGCTTTTCTGACTCTTTAAGATGGGTTCATAGCTTTGGTGTGTCAATATTTTTTTATATCAAGCACACTTTGTATCACTTGCAGACCTTAACAATCGGTGTGTGTTTTCACAATCCACAAATTCATCATATAAAGTCTTTCATGGACCCACAAAACTATCATGGTGATAAATCAAACTTAAGGCCAGACACGGTTAACATCCTTTACACATAACTATTATTATTAACAATATATATGTCATTTTGTATAAATTCCAAGGTTTTCATGCTATTTTAGTGAACACCAAGACTTTTCAATCCCAACACTAAAATGCAAGACTTCAAGATCAACCTAAAAATTCAAAGGTTTTTCTCAGGCCTGCATGGCCTTTGTACAAATGACAGCATCAGATGACCACCTGGACCCTGGATATCATGCCCAATGTCCCCTGTGTCTTCTCCATGTGCCTTTCATAAAGGGGCCTGTCAGTATTTAAAATGTTTGTCATGGTTTTAGATTTACCATCACCTTACAAAAATATAAACTATTACATCAGAAGGAATAACCCACTGGCTTTTATGTAAAGAAGTTTGTTTAGCTTGGAGTGAGTAAGTTTAGTTTTACGCCACTTTTAGCAATATTTCAGTAACATCTCAGTGGAGGACACTAGAGTGAGTGAGTGAGTGAGTTCAGTTTTACACAATATTCCAGCTACTCATGTGGGCTTCACACATTGGTGGGGAATAGAACCCAGGTCTTCGGCATGATGAGCAAATGCTTTAACCTCCAGGCTACCCGACCGTTTACTAAAGTTAAGCTTGGAATGGAAAGTTAACTAGTTGTTTCGTTATTTCTAATTCAGTGTTTTTAGCAGTAATTTTAGAATATATCACTCCTTGCAGTGGATGTCACAAAACATTTTAAATGAACTGCTTAGATAAAGTAACAGAGATGTAAAGAAAATGTGTCTACAAATATTTTCATTAGAAACATGAACAAAATATGCCATTTAATCATCCCTCTTTGTGACAATAAGCTTGTTAAACAGCCAATGCATGGAAGTGGCAACTTATGGGGTCAGACAAGCTGTATGTCTTTGTATCTATTTGCATTGATTGATTCTGCTGATGCCAATCACTGGACTGTCTGGCCCAGTCCTGATTGCACTGACAAGTGAAGTGCTAAACAACAAACAAGTATCATGTAGCATGTCTCTTGGTCTTACCTCCACTCGGTCCCCATCCTTGAATTCTTTCTTCACCCCACCATCTTTAGGGGGAAGACGTACTTGTGAGAACTTGACAGTACGTTCTGGTGTCCAGCTAAACAAAAGAAAAAAAGAACAAATTACCAAAAATGTATTTTCCTATGAAACCACATGGCTCTAAACATGTCAACACAGCAACTTAGAATTGACCCGTTTCTCTTATAGACAATTCAAATATAGACAATAGTGCCACACCACTGTAGTTGTTGGTTGTTGCTAACGCTGCACTCGGGAGTATTCCAGCCATATGATGGCGGTCTGTAAATAATCGAGTCTGGACCAATCAATCCAGTGATCAACAGCATGAGCATCAATCTACGCACCTGGGATGCGATGACATGTGTCAACCAAGTCAGTGAATCTGACCACCTGATCCTGTTAGTCGTCTCTTATGACAAGTATGGGTTGCTGAAGACCAATTCAAACCCGGATCTTCAGAGTTCCCACAGCACTGTAGCTCATTCACATGATGTCAACAGTTTCAAATATCAAAAAAAGAGACCAACTTGCTGCCAGTATTGATAATCGAACATATAACTACTTGATTGATTGCAACATAATCTGTCACCACAAGGAGAATTATATACGCCAAATTTCAACCTGATCAGTCTGGCAATGTCAGAGAAATGTGGAAAATGGTGAGAAACAATCACACTCGTAAGCAACAGATATGTTGAATTTCACAATGAACATACGATACATAATGAAATTTCATTACTTTTAGTACAAAAAATAGTTCAAAAATGTCCATGAGTGCTTTTTTTTCTCGTAACTTAATTTTGACACTGTTTTCAAATACACATGTACCATTTTCAAACATTTCAACAATATGCAAAAGTTGCACTGGTTCCATACCAAAGTTTCAACTCTGAGGCTTATACAACTTTTTTCTAATACCACACACTTGTTTTGTTTTTGTTTCTACTGCATCTGTTGCAAGATGCAGGTAGTGAGTGAGTAAGTGAGTGAGTTTAGTTTACGCCGCACTCAGCAATATTCCAGCTATATGGCGGCAGTCTGTAAATAATTGAGTCTGGACCAGACAAACCAGTGATCAACAGCATGAGCATCGATCTACACAATTGGGGTACAATGGCATGTGTTAACCAAGTCAACAAGCCAGATCACCCGATCCCGTAAGTTATAGCTGGAATATTGTGTGAGTGCAGCGTAAAACTAACTCACTCACTCACTATCCCGTAAGTTGCCTCTTATGACAAGAATGGGTTACTGAAGATCAATTCTAACCCTGATCTTCAAAACAAATGTCAACATTTATGAATGAGCCACTGAAAAACAGGTTTGACATGAGGTGCTGCAAAGAACTTCAGGTATCGTCTTGATTGGCACGTGATGTTTCAGGTTCAGTTGTCAGCATGTTTCCAAGCAAATGTTCAATGTAAAGGAAAACACAATTTTATGTAATTTTGCAGTGAGAGAGTGAGTATCATTTTATACTGCTTTTAGCAATATTCCAGGAATATCATGGTGGAGGACACCAATAATGGTCTTCACACACTGTACCCATGTGAGGAATTGAACCTAGGTCTTCAGCGTGCCTATCAAATACTCTAACCACCAGTCTACCCATGTGAGGAATTGAACCTAGGTCTTCAGCGTGCCTATCAAATACTCTAACCACCAGTCTACCCTTGTGCCCCATATTACTTCGGATCACATATCATTACATTTTAAACAAAAATGATTGAGTAATGGCCTAAAGAAATTTCAGTTCACAGTGTGGTATAAGTGCAAAGGTGAAATCAAGGTCATACAATTTATAATATAATTTATTTTAAGAATGGAAGATACATTCAAATACTGTTTCACAGTTTGCTGTGTCAAACTTAAAGTTGTCTCCAAGTAAAAAGTTGGTCATCCATTATTAATCATCAGTTTGCAGTTTTGAAGGTCCCTTCTACTTGACACAACACTATCCAACTGTAATGAAGAACCTCACTACTAACTTCATATTTATCTAATGTTAGACAAAAATCTGAATAATGGCACCATATAGCTTTTTTCTATATGGCTACAAAGGCCATCATACTCAAAATTAGATTAAACCTGAGCAAATTCATGTAGGAAATGTGAAGTTGGTCCAGAGGTATCGAAGAAGATGCAAATCGTGTTTATAGATGCAGGTGCCAATGCTGCCGGACCAAAGGTATCGCAGACCAAGACAAACGCTCACTTGACTTTCAGTCAGGTGAGCCAAAAAGGGAAATAAAATACAAAATCACATTTGAAAAAGGCCAACTTACTTGTTTTCAAACTCCACAGTAACTTCATCCTCATGAATATTTTTCACTGTCGCCTGTCATGAGAAAAAGAGAGACAAGGAGTGATTAACTTGCTTTTTTAAATAAGCTAAGATGGGTTGGGTTGTTTTTTTAACATCGTAATCACCAGTATTCCAGCTACATGACAGACGTCTGTAAACCTTGGAGTCTTGACCAGACAATCCAGGGAATGACATCATGAGCACCAATCTTCTCAACTGGGATAAGATGACATGAATGAACTAGGGCCTGCAACAATTCAGTTTGATTCATCGAAAATCGAATCTGATACCTTAGTTTCGATTTTCGATAACCATTATCACTATTTCGATTCTATATTTGAATATCTATTTAAATTATTTCCACCCAGCGAGAAAGGAATTCTGACTCCAACTCAGGTATAGTTTTGTGCGTTGTAATAAAGCGAAACATGATTGGTTGACAACAGCCTAATTATCCAATGAGAATTATTGTTGGTAGACATCGCCAAGTTGACGATGGATTTCAGGCCAAAAAGCAGACTCACTTGAACTCTGAGAGTTAAATGAAATCTGATGTTTTACTTGTATGAAGAATCAAATCAAGGACCTAACATCGAAAATGGAATCGGGGTCTGGGTGAATTGTTGCACCCTAGAATGAATAAGTCAGTAAGCCTGACTACCCGATCCTGTTGGTTACCTCTTACAACAAATTCTGATCAGGGGCCCCTTTCACAAAGCAATTGTAGCGTGTTAAAGTATGGGAGTTACGATCACCTTAGTGCTACGATCACTTCATGAAATGGGGCCCAGAACCTTCTTAAGCAACACCTGGGAAATATTTCATTATTGCAGGTCAGCATTAAGAAGAAAACAATGACATGTATCATGCACAGGTACCACTTTGGGGTTAAAACTCAGTGATGATCTGGAATTTTAATAAAGACGTGATCTAACTCCATTAGGAAGAATTACTTTATTTAAAAAGCTTAATCTTACCAAAACGCAACCATCTATTCGCATCGCTTCCAGATCCTAACGATAAACTAATCAAAGAAATCGAATCACTCTGCTTCAGTTTTATATGGAAAAACAAACCTGATAAAATCAGTAGAAAAATAATTACAAAAACATATGATGAAGGAGGACTACGAGCTCCAAACATAAGGCAGATAATATCTTCTCAAAAAATATCATGGATTAGGCGACTATTGAACTCAAGACCTAATTCAAAAACCCTTGATATATTTCTTTTCAATACCACGTGATCATCTCTCGACCAACTCATAAATAACGAAGATAACCTCACATGTAAACTCAAATCGCAGAACAAATCCCTTCTGGAGGGATGTCCTGAAATGCTGGGAGTTATACCTAAACTTTGAAGGTGATAATGCCAAAAACGAACATGATATCCTTTCCCATATCGTATGGCACAATAAGAACATTAGAATATGAGGAAGCACCTTCTTCTATACTATAAACACTTCTCTGACAAAGGTATCCACTACATTAATGACTTAATTGATAACGACGGAAACTATCTCAACCTTTCTTCCCTTCAGAAGAAATATCAGATAAAAACAAACTTCCTTGAATATCATGGCATTATCAAATCAATTGAGTCTTATGTTAAAAGTAAGCGCGTTAAACTCAAATCAAAACTTCAGACACCAATTCTGCCATATTTTATCAAAGATGTATGTGAAAAGAAAAAGAGGCTGCAGAATATTCTATGACGCATTAAACACAAACATGTTCGACATTAAGACCAGAAAACACATTCGGAAATGGGAGAACAATCTCAGATGTACCCTGACAGAACAGGAATGGAAAACCATACATTATATACCCTTCCGCACACATGCAAACAGCAAACTACAATGGTTTCAACACAATATCATTTACAGAATACTACCCAGAAACGACTTCCTATATAAAATGAAATATACGAATAATAACAAATGTGACTTATGCAAAACTGTCATTGAATCAATAACACACCTCTTTTACGAATGTAAAACTAGAAGATTGGATCGAGGAGAAAACAATAAAACTAGATTTTACCAAACAACATATCCTGTTTGGCTATTATGAAAAGCGAAATGATGTTGTAAATCTGATCATAAATACAACTAAATTCAACATTTATAAAAGTAAACTTTCTAAACGACCACCACATTTCCGATATATCAAAAGAGATATAACCAATGCATATCATATAGACAGATATACCTCGTCCTTAACTTGTGACTACACCAAATTCACGAAATACTGGTCAATATGTCATTGCCTATTTACCTGAACAATACATCTCCTGTAAAAGCCATAACCGTCAGCTACTGAATTGTCATACCCATTTTGATAAGATACTATGTGTATTGCTGTAAAACATGTACCGGTGAAAAGAAATAAAAAAATAAAATAAAAAAGAAAGACTGTGGTGCAGGTCAAAGACATTCAAAACCTTGATAAAAAACCAATGATGCTGACAAATCAAAGATCACAATCAAGGTGAATCTCAGAATCAGAATTTGTTGTATAGAGGACTGGCAGAAATGTTACATTACTAGCCCACACAGTGTAACTAGTCCTGCTTGAATCAGACAAATCTCTTTACAGTGTTGACAATTTGTCACTTTATAGACTGCATATGAATCAGTAAAATGACAATTGAACACACTTAACCTGGAAACATAAAGGAGACTATAGTCTGTTTGCAGTGAAAACATACCGGTGAATTGCACTTTAAACAAAAATGAAAATCGAATAAAGTGAAATTAAGATTGCAAATCCTCATAATTCTACCTTGCCAATTGATAGGGGTGGGTATTGCAGAGAATTTTCATATTGCGATATATTGCGATGCGAAAGCATGTATTGCGATATGTATTGCAATATATTGCACGAAGTATTTTTAACAAAAACCTACTCATAATCGAGTTACTTCTTGATTTATAGAGCAAAAACACAACAAAATCACTAGGCTTGATTAAGCTTTAATAACAACTTTTAATCATGATAAAATAAAATGTGAATAATATTTGGCACAAATGAAACAAGGACATATCCGAAGATTTCCGAGTGTTACAAAGTTTTCCGAATGCAAGTCAAAATACCGGTTTTCGATCAGCATATCGCAATACGTATCGTTTTCATGTCTGAACCAGTAAATACCGGTAAACCGGTTATATTGCGCAGCCCTACCAATTGAACATTTAAATCTTAGATTTTTATTCAACTTAGGATAAAGTTGTTTAACAGATGATCATAGATTCAAATCGCTATTATTGCTTTGTATTACAAGGGAGTAAACACAGTAGTTGGAACAGTGAACAAATGCATGTGCTGTACGTGATGAGCGTTAACTTAGACCAACCCTACTTGATCTCGGTGTTTCATTTTATGTGCATACCCCCTTGTAATACAAACCAACAATACCGATTTGAAACTATGATCGTTTGTTAAACAACTTTCATCCCAAGTTGAATAAAATTCTGAGATTTAAATTTTCAAATGGCAAGGTAAAATTATGAGGATTAGCAATCTTAATTTCACTTTATTTGATTTACTTTTTTGTTTAAAGTGAAATTCATCGGTACGTTTTTCACTGCAAACAGACTATAATCATGTTAATGATCATTCAGATTACTGATATTCTGATCATATTGAACAAAACAACTAAATTATCAGGAATATTTTATTGACATTAACCAACTCAGAAATAATTGAATCTTTGATATGAAAAACTAATCTTCTTTCCCCACCTGTGTAACTAAGAACACTTGCAAAAAAAACCAGAAGTCTTCACCATGTACTCCGGGACTGCTACCAGTACCTTTGTTTGGAGACTACATGTCAAGAAACATAAACATTGTGACTACGCTCTATAATCACTTTCAGTCTAATGACATCACTTTTTGGCTGAAACTCACATACTTTACGCAATACAGTCTTTAACCATAAAGGCATATGACTACAAGTACAAGTACCCTAGTAGGAATGTTACTTATTTCTAAAAACATCTATCAGCTTTGCTAACCTTTGTTATACATAACAGGGTCCTACCCTACTGAACTATGTGTCCCAATTACGAACCCATGAAATATGATGGTGATATGTAGTATCGAAATAGTGTACTATACTGTACAATAATATATGATAGTTATGTTTAAGACAGATACTTTCTTTAGCAGAATTTGGTATAGTGAATACTATTGTGGCTCCCTCAGAATGCAACATATTTACACACATATATTTATCAGCATCCATTCTATATATATTTAAGCATTCTTATTAATCTTAACGCACATATCTTATTCCTGATATATCACTACCATTTACGCTTTATCAATATTGCATCACAATATTGATAAAACCTTATTACTTTTGGTCACCTGTTAAAGCTCTATTCCTGATGATATTAAATCAGTCAGTAAAGGCTTACATACTTGAGACACCTTAATGAATATATTTTATCTGCCAATTCAATTCCAAGAGCCAGTGTTTGATGTAACTTGTAAGAAGGATAACAACATGTTTACTCAGGATAAAGCATCATTAATATTAATAGAATAGGGATGTTGTTGACCACTGTTGTGGTATGTGGTGTCCTCAGAAATGCAACTAAACAATCATAAGATTAATAATTTGTTCATTCGTGTCAAGGAAACTTTGCATGAAAACTGGTGACATCAATAACCAACACAAGATCAAAGAAAGAACACTGGTTCCACAAGCTTTACACATTATGACAAGAACGTTTATACATCACATTCTTATGAATGTACATATGGCCGAATAGCTAAAACTACACTTGGGTAAATCGAAAACACATTTTATCGAATATTAGACTTATCCAGAAAACTGTTTTGGGGGGTGATGCTGAGTTGTTATGAAAATAAGAGGGTTGAAAGAGAAACGGAGCTTCTATTATATTAAGTTTAAATAACGGAACAGTTCTAAGAGATTGACGGAACATAACAAAATTATGATACATGATACTTCAATATACTAAAATTCGCGATTAGAGCATGCTCTTGTCGGTATTCGAAGAATTTCTTTTCTTGGAAGTTAAGAAAGCATGCCGGTTCAAACACCCATCGTGAAAAAAAAATCATGAAGTCTCAAAAAGTATTCGCAATTTCGATAAACTAACATTCGGAAAAAGTGATTCAGCTTTCCAAATTGATTTCACCACGTGAAAAGTTGTAACAGTTTTGGATATACCTTGTAATAGGCTCCACTTGGCCCGCAGACCTCTACCGCAAGGTCCTCCATTTTGGATGGGTGCGGACTTCTGGGAAATTCTTACTTTCGACTTTGTAATAATGTGATCACGACATAAATGATATTTGAAATGTAATGCTAGTTAATTAATTACATATGAAATTATGTCGAATAATTTTGACTGAAAAGAAGGCGTTTTTATTTTTCTCGAGAAAACTCGTCTTCATGGAATGTCAAAATGGCCGCCCACGGAGGATGAAGATGTGTTTGTTTATTATTATTTTATGAGCTAATGTGGTACACACGGAGTACCAAATTTATTGGGACATAATGTCTTCCGACAGCGAACCTGATGAGTTTTTCGATGCGCCAGATGCTACGCCATACCAGTAAGATTTGTCTACATGTTTACCCACTTTTAATCAGATATTTATGGGTGGTCATCTAGCATCATCAGCAGCAACAGCATCACCTGTACGTTTAGGGGTTGTAAGTGGCAGCCTTGCCTAATGGTCAGGTCACAGTTGACGGATTTCCACATCGACGATTTCCACTTCGACGTACTCGAGGAGAAATATTTGGGCCATAAATGTCAGTTAATCGTTGCAAATGCCAAAAATGGTGAACTCATGAATTTGTTAAATGTGTCAATAGCAGGGTTTATTACGAGTAAGAGATCGGGAGTATCGTAATTAAACACAATTTCGGTGTTCACTTTGCAACTTATTTCGGTTCAACTTCAAAATGTTGTGTAACATAGTGTTCAATATCATTGCACTTCAGAAAATGGTGTGACTGCATGTGTGTGTAGCTGCTTTTATCACTCCAGTCGTATCCACATATGATCTACCCTAGTTCATATGAATAAACTCGTATTCCAGCCAAGGCCTACATTGAGCGCACCTCCGGTGGTATAGTGCAAAATCGTCTAGTTATATGCTGGACTAGATCTACCCGTAAAATCATGCATTGATGTAGGCTAATGCAAAACCTACAACAACATATCTCTCAAATTATGTTTAATACTGAGCAATTGTGTTTTCGATGCACAGATTTAACATAAGTATTAACAACATTTTATGACCATAGCAATCTTAAGGGCAGATAATTTGAGATTGTGACAAACACGGGAATGGATCCGAAGGTTAATCTTTCATGAACTGTCAGAATTCAAAGCAGATCTAAAGACCATCTTCTTCCGAAAGGCATACAATGTTTTCTCAAAATGACCCGTAACAAGTTTTCAGCTGCCAGTTTCTAGCTCAGTACAGTGGTTTTAAGTGGTTCAACCAGATCCTAGCTCTCTACAAGTATTTAGTTAGATAGATAATAGATAGATCTTATGCTTATTGTAAGAGACAACTATTGGGATCGATGAGGGTGGGGGTGGGGTGTCTTTCACTTTGACTTACTTGTACTGTTTAACATTACAGTAAATCCCACTCAGATTCACCTGTCATGTCTGGGTTTTTTTATACTCAGTAAATGTTTAGACTTTTCTTCATTTTGGTTTGCCCTCAACATATTGCAACCATGAAGATCCGTGTTCAAATTGGTTTTCAGTAACCCATGCTTGTCGTAAGAGGCAACTAACAGGATCGGGTGGTCACGCTCACTGATGTGGTTGACATGTCATTGTATCCCAATTATGTAAATCATTGCTCTTGATGTCAATCATTGGTTTGTCTTGTCCATACTCGATTTAACACAGACCAACTTGAGTCTCAACTTATGACTCTATAATGTTTATAGATGTGCATTTCAAGTACAAATAATGGAGAAGAAAATCTTCAACATATACCCCAATAATTGAGAAGAACATCTGCAAGGTGCAACAAATATCAGAATAGAAACACATTTCCATAAAATTAATGAATTAAATATGTATTTATTTTTGAATACCATATGTCTCACAAAGTCACATAAGTATTTATTGCTTTTTAACCCTGATCATACATTGGGGAACAAGGTTTCTCTGCCTGTAGAGCATGTGTACAGGTATTGCAGCATCTGTGGTTTAGGATGACACTATCAGGCAGCGTTCAAACTCCATCCAGGTCATCCTGTATTGTTGTTCAAATAGGGTTCAAGTCTGGCTATTTAAGTTTCTGAAAAATATGCAGTGAAATTCGCTGTTCAATATTGTCAAATTTTATATAAATTTTGCAAATTTTTGTCAAAATGTGTCTAGTTAATGTTTTCTTTTTACATTTTCATTCCTTTCAATCAATAACTTGAGCACCTATCAATAACTATAGCAAATTTTGTCTCATTATTTTCATAAATAACACTTTTAGACGCGTTTTTGTGTGACATGCAGAATTTCCCTGTCTGTGAGCAGGCAGTCACACGAATGAGTGACCCCCTCTCAGGTAGTCACTTGAACGCGTAACGGGGGACCGTCTCGCATACTTGTTACGTCCTCTACTGTTTAAAGAGCCAGTGAAGGACTTGTATGTTGAGGATCACCTTCTGTATGCAGTTTATCAGCTCTACCTTGCTGGTAGGCCAGGTCTACCTGATGTCGCTGATGTCACAACAGAGCGTGATCCCCAGGACTGGGACCTGCATGGTCTCACCATCTAAACTGAGATATCCTTGAAATCCTGTAGTTAATGTGGTTATAGTGGCTGCACACTAGTCTTGGCTGGTACATTCTTATGCATAATCACCTGATTGACTGATCCAGACTCCACTGCTTCCAGGGCGCCATCATATTGTTGGAATGTTGTTGAGGAAGAAAATTGTATGTTAGTTCTTTCTTGTATGAAGCATGGTGCTTGGTTGGAAATATTTTCATGACATGAGAATTATATGCAGAAGAGGGGTTCATGGGTTATTGGTAATTTTCTGCTTGATCCAGGTATACACCTAAACATGCTAAATCTCTGATCTCCGTTGTTTAACAATGGGATAAAGACTTATTGGTGTCCCCCACCCTGAATATTGCTGGAATATTGCTACAAGCAGCGTAAAACCTCACTCACTCACTCTGATGCACCTACTTACCAGAAACCGTGGAAGCAATTCACAAATTTTTTGGTCATTGTGAAAATTGTACATCATTATACATTGGTAAAAGTAGCTGATTGTTTTTCCTTGCAGATCTTTTCAAACCGATACACCACAAAATATTACTACAGATGAAGTGCAGGCCACAGTGAGTAGTTCGTTTCTGTTTGGCTATTTGGACTGATCCATTTTGTTAATCATATACTATTGTGCGAAGATATAAAATTCAAGGACCCCTTCAATACTATGGATAAAATTTGATTGCTTTCAACATATTGCCTTCAACATCCACTTGGTAGGGGATGCTGATCAGCAACCAGACTACGCACAAACCCAGAGGCTGCATATACCAACTAAACTGCAACTTCATTGTATATACATGTACTTCTCTGGCTTCCTGTAAATTCTGGTATATATAGTATGTTTTGTATATATAGGGCAGTATAGTTTTGTCAGCCGAAGACCGGGTTCCCCCACATGGGTACAATATAAGCCCATTTCTGGTGTCCTGATGTTGCTGGAATATTGCTAAAAGCGGGCAAGAAGTCAGTCAGTATATCACCTGAAGAAAGGGCAAGAAGTAGCCTAGAAACAACATGTTATACAATAAAGAAGAAGTTGTCATCCATATACTTGTCTTATATATTCATCAACTTCTAAATGCCTCTCAAGAATCTCAACAACATTGTAGTGATAGATTGATAACACCCTGCATATTTTATAGTTATCTGAAATTGAAGAGGAGGAGAAAAGGCTCTTGGACCTGAAGAAGGCTGCAGAAGAAAGGTGTGTCTATAGTTTTGATCTGTGCAAACGTTTTCATTAACTAGACACTGCTCATATTTTCAGGGACGTATTCATTATTCTAAACTAATTGTTCCTGGTAGGCAAAGTGAGAAAAATGTTAATTTTTCCTTATCCTGACTCATGCTTATTATGCTTGCCACCTCCTTCTATGCGAATGATAGTGGTAATGGAACACTTGAAATCCCTTGTAGTTCCCTTTAAAGCGGATGTAAAAGTACACTCAACCACGAGTTGCCTCCCTTGCATAGTTTCCCGCCAAAACAGTCACATGACTAACCATGCTTGTCACTCTCTCCTCCATCGCCCTGGTGGATGGTTGTGGGAACTTCGGATTCCCTATACGGCACTATATCCTTTTATATTTTGACCCTTTAGCCCAAGTTTAGCTGTATACGGTCTTCTGTCTGCATTATTATTCAGTGTATGTAGGAATTATGTTCAAATTTACGTAAATATTGTTGTTTTCATCACATGTATTTGTTGTTTACATTTGATGAAAATCGTGTTCTTTTTGCAGGCACTGGCTGTCTGCCGCTGATCTGCACCCCCTTTGTCCTTCTTGTACTTATCAATGCTCTTCCAGCTCTCGCTGTCAATATTGTGTAACATTATCTACATTTCAATTTAATAACTATTTGTTGGCCTTATTTTGACGTGCTAAGGACAAGGTGCGGAGGTTATCACAAGGCATGGCAAAAGAGAGAGATAACGTCAGTAACTGTGTGTTGTCATCTGCAAATGAAACTAATGTTTCTAGTGATTTGCCGGGTTCATCACAGGAGCAGGCTTCTGTTATGAGGAAGAGGTCAGAGTTGGCTTCATCGCAGTCTAAGAAGCACAAGTCGTCATCTGTGAGTTCACAGAAGAAGACGTCTTTGATGTCCAAAATCGCTCTTCAAAGTCTTCCAGTTCTAATAGACCTGCTCATCAGAGCAACATTCAACGGCCAGATCGTATCTTCAGTCGCCTTCATCAGCGGCAGAGGCAGACATCTTCGACGACCGACCGATTTTGCTGCCAGAAATTTTTTTCTTCAGTTCATTCAAAGTTGGGTGCCAGATTAGTTCTCTCTCAGATGCGTCGTCTACTCCTCATCAGTCAGCGCAGAACTTTGACCAGGGTGCAATTCACCCAACAGAAGCTTTCCTTGATAAAACAGAGGTTCGTCGAAGAGAAGAGGTTACAGCAAGCTTCGGCGGTAGCAGTACCCAGAATGGAATCCACTCCACAGGATGGAGCAGTCGTGGATCATCAGTCGGCGAACACAGCAGGTGCGGATCATCATTTGACGAAGGCAGTCATGACGCAGGATCACCAGCGTTTGAGAAGGTCTTCACCTACTGAGGATTCAACCTTCTGCAGTCGAGAGGGATCCACGAATGTTAATGAGGAGGATACAGTTCGAGAACGTCACCGTTTCATCTCCCGGAAATCTCCGAGGAGGCGCGAATGCACCACATCAGTATCAAGCAGATCTTACAGTCATAGATCTACTTCACCGGCCTACAGGGAGGATCGTTCGTGAACAAGAGATTCCAGCCATGATGAGCATTCATGAAAGGATCATTCGCGAAAGGAGGATCCTAGGAAGGACTCGCGATTGAAGTAAGCGCAAAGGGATTCACGAAGACATAGCTCGTCAGACAAGGATGAAGCAGAGCGATTTGAGAGTTTTCTGTGTGCGCATGTACAATCAAATTTATTGGGTATTTACAAAAATACAAGCGTACTTGTACGCAACAGACGTAATAGGAATTGAGTTTTCACATAAATATTTGCGTAATTTATGCATATACGCAGCTTAACTGTACCTCTGATGAAGAGAGCGATGGGATCTTCTCCAATGCAGAGGTTACTTCATGGATTGCGAGTGGTCTCGACTTAGCATCTCCATCCAAGGAATGGAATGAAGCACTCACTTACAGAATGGCTGATGATGACTTTGATTTGCTCACGATCCTGCCTATTGAGCCGATCGTAGGAGTCCCGGCAAGCCTCAGTTTAGCCTTTGAGAAAGCATCGAAGTCACAGAACCAGCACGTTCCAGTTTTTAATGTGCGAAGATTCCCTCTTCACCACATGGAGCCATTTATGAGAGCGCCGGTCTTGGATGAGAATTACAGACTTATCGATAGTCGCAGTAAATTATATAAAGTGGAAGATAAGATTGCACAGTTGGACACCACAACTAGAAGCACATTCTTCGGCCTGTCTAGATCTAGAGCAATCAACGAGGCACTCATTGCAAAGTTCCAGAACTCTCGTGCAGAAGAGGATAGGATGACTTTATCTGCACTTCTCACCCAGAAGAGGGATCAACAGTTCATGTCGGACCACTTGGCATCTGCATCTGCAGGCCTTACGCTGCTAACAAGACAAGGTATTCTGTCATCCTGCAACTGGAGCGAAAGATATATCGAGTCACTCCTGAGAGCCCAAAGGTCAGCGCCTACTCTTTTCAGCGGAGGAATTGAAGAGATTGCCAAAGAGGTCACTCACGACTCTAGAGAAGTGATGATGATCAAGTCGATCGACACCTTAGCGAATGTCATCCTCCAGATGTCTCATTGTTACAGCAACAAATCCAAGTTCACGAATATCCTGAAAGGCCAAGGAGAAGAAATATTCCAGTTCCAGAGGAGCTGGAGGTTCCTTTCATCGGCGAGCCGGGAATACCAGGAATGCCTCGGGGCGAGGACGCACCCCCAGAGGTTCCAGGGTATCATTATGTTGAAGATGGGGTTTCGAAATGACTGAAGTCTTCCATCCCCAGCCGTTCCTGTGCAACTATCGACAGTGGGTGGACGACTGCAACTTCACTGAGAAAACTGGGGAATGCTACAGGACGACTACGTAGCACAGATCCTTCGAGAAGGTTACAGAGTTCAACTGAAGGCCACGCCTCTATTGACCGACAGGCCGCTCATCTTCGAGTACGCAGACGAGCAAGCAGAGAAGCTGGGATAGGCCATCAACACTCTGCTGGAACAGGATGCAGTCGAGATACTAGATCAAAATCGTCTAATGCCCAGATTTTATTCCCCAACTTTCCTGGAACCCAAGAGGAATTCCAAGGAGAAGTTCAGGCTGATCTACAACATGAAGAAGTTCAATCTAGATTACCTCCTCAAACCCATATTCAAGATGAGCCATCTTCCTCAACTAAGGCGTCTTATTCGTCCAGCAGATTATCTAGCCAGCATGGACCTGCAGGATCCTACACATCCCCATACATCAGGACTCAAGAAAGTGTCTGCGATTCCTGTTCAAAGGTTGACATTTCCAGTGGAAAGTCCTGCCATTTGGAATATCTTCGGCCCCATGGTTGTTTACACGAGCCCATAGTCGCCTTTCTACATCATCAAGGTTTACGCAGTGCTTTTTACCTGGACGACGGTGTTCAAGCTCATCAGGAAGCCAGTCAGCTCAAGCTACAACTGGACTTCTTCATCAGACTACTAACACAACTGGGTTGGCCAGTAAATTTACAGAAATCGGAATGGGGGAACCCAAACAGGATCTAAAATTCCTAGGTATAAGGTTCGTCACAACAGAAAATCGCATCATAGCCCCAGAAGATCGTTGGATCAAGATACAAGCCATGATCCCAAAGGAGTCATCTCTATGTTTAATCTCCGAACAAGGCAGCGCCTTCTGGGTCTACTCACCTCCGCAGGATTTAACTCGTAGAGGAAGATTACAACTACGTCCGTTGCAGCGATTTCTGAACACTCACCACAGCAGTACAGGGTTGATAACTCTACCGGAGAGTCTACAACCATTCCTGTTATGGTGGACTCACAAGTCAAATGTTTGCGGAGGAACTTATTTAGAACAGCCGGTTTGCAACACACATCTGTACGTGGATGCATCCTTGCAAGGATGGGGAGCACACCTCGTGAGCAATGGTAAATGCAGGAAAGTGGTCGGAAAGGGAACGACATCTGCACATCAATCAACTGGAGATGAAAGCAGTCATCAATGCCTTATAACATTGGTCGAAGTCTCTGTATTGACAATGCACACAGACAACTCCACAGTGGCATTTCTCATCAACAGACAAGGCTCAACAAGATCAGCAAGTCTGTTACATCTCATATTTCATCTGTTCGACATTGTGGACAAGTTGAACATCTGGATAAAGGCGTGTCACATTCCTGGAGCAAAGAACATCCTAGCAGATGCTCTGTCTCGGCCACAGCAACCATCCCTGACAGAATGGATGCTTCATCCGGAGGCGTTTCATCTCATAAGGACGTTAGGATCTCCACTTACAGATCTGTTCTCCACAAGGTCCAACAGACAAATACAGACGTTTGTCTCACCGGTACCAGATCCGCTAGCATGGGCAACAGACGCATTGAACATGTCGTGGGAAGGACTAAACGCATACGCGGTTCCACTGCCGGTTCTAATCCCGCAAGTACTCGAGAAAATCAGGCAGACTTCAGTCCTCCAACTGATTTTGGTCGTGCCCTTTTGGCCAGCAAGAGTGTGGTTTCCAGATCTCATTCAAGAATTAGGAAAGCCAACCCTGAAACTACCAGAATGGCCGAACCTACTGGTTCATCCGCACACCAAGCAATTTCACGGAATCCGGCAGTGTTCCAGCTTCACGCATGGGCAGTATCAAAACTTACTTGAGGAAGAGAGGTTATTCCGCCAAAGCAGCCAAAGCGGTCACTCTAGCTCTTCGCAGATCTACTCGCAACCTGTATGATGATAAATGGCAGAGGTTTCAACAATATGTTCGGCGCAAGGGTTTCACAGCAGTGAAAGCATCTCATCCTCAAGTGGCGGATTACTTATGTCATCTCGACAGACTAAGAGATTGAAAGGTTCGACCTTATCTACGTACTTGGCGGCTATTAGCACAGTACTGACCATGAAGACAGGGAGCAAATTGACGAAAGTACCAGAACTACTGGCCTTACTACGTTCTTTTAAGCTGGAGGATCAGCAAAAGAAATTCAAGGCACCTGCTTGGGATCTCAATGTAGTACTACAACATCTCACCAGCTACGAGCCGTAGAGCAAAACCGTTAGAACTACTTATGCAGAAAACGCTGTTTTTACTGCGCAGAAAGCCACTGCAGCCGAGTATCAGAAATACATGCGCTGGATTTTGGACGAACTCGGTTCGACACAGGACATTGTGCGGTAGCACATTTAGGACTTAGATGGGATTTTGTGGCAAAGAATCAGCTACCTGGTCAACCAGATAGACAGTTCCATGTACCAGCATTATCAACAATCCTCGGACAGGACGATGTACAGGATTTATCTCTATGTCCAGTCAGAGCATTGAAAATTTACCTCATTCGGACAAGAACAAGGAGACAGAAGTTCAAGCGCCTGTTCATCTAATTGTCTACAGAGACATCCACAGAAGTCTCCAGAACAACAATATCCGTATGGATGAGAGCCGTTATACTAAGGGCCTACAAAGCAGCAGGACAGCCGAGTGAATCCAACCAAAACGAAGTCAGAGGTTTGGCGTCTACTCTCACGCTGCATGGGAATTGCTCGATAGCATCAATAATGGAGGGCTGCTTTTGGAAATCTGATACGGTATTTGCCAACCACTACCTGAGAGACATGGCCACCGAAGACGTCTCCGGCATTCACCAGTTTGGGCCACTTGTTGTTGCACAACAACTAACGGTTCCACAGAGGAGTTGAATTAAAAATCTCACCCTCTTATCACGTGATTTGCTGATAACCTTTGCTCTGGAGAGTCTTGGTTTAGAGTCAATGTTTACGTTTAGAACAGACTAACATGATTTAGACCCTGTACTTGTGCGGAAGTACTTGTATGTGAAAAGGGTCGCAACTCTTACGATAAGAAGATACTTCTTATATGAGTTGTTATAGATATCTAGCAAGGATACACTAGTATATCTTAAATCCACATGAATCGTAGATTCACTTTTCTTAAAGAAGTCTGACAAGATGTGGTACCCCGAGTTGGCAGATGGAAGTTGGAAGAACAGGATTGTCGAAAAGTGCCGTATGATAGTTCCCATGGGGGTAGATACAGGACGTATCTAGGACAGCCAATAAATCCGAGAAGGTGACCTGACCCACCACCAATCCATAGGATTCTGGAAGCATAATAAGCATGAGTCAGGATATGAAAAATATGTAATTTTCTGAATGAAATTGATATTTTATACTTATCCTGACTCATGATGTCAAGCCCTCCCAACTTCCCCACTGATGGCACTTCAGATTTCACGGTAAATCCACATGTCAGGCATATTACGGAGAGAGTGACAAGCATGGTTAATCATGTGACTGTTTTGGCGGGAAACTATGCAAGGGAGGCAACTTATGGGTGAGTGTACTTTTACATCCGCTTTAATGGGAACTACAAGGGATTTCAAGTATTCCACTATCATTTGCATAGAAGGAGGCAGCAAACATAATAAGCATGAGTCAGGATAAGTATAAAATATCAATTGTATTCAGAAAATTACATTTTTGTTCAAAATTAGGTTTCTTAGTGTTCATATTTCCAAAAGTCCATCATAATTTAATAATGTAATACAGGTAAGGATTGAAAATTTTTTCTTGGTTATATTTCCTCCTATGAGCGTAATACAAGTTCTCTCTACATAACCATGAAGTTTGTTATTTGTTATAAATATTGGCAAGAATTTCCAACACTTCTCAAGGGGTGGTGAGGCAGCCTAGTGTTTAAAGCGTTCATTCACAGCATATAAATACCTTCGTTTGATTCCCGATATGAGTACAATGTATGAAGCCAATTTCTGGTGTCCACCGCCATGATATACCGTAGCTGGAATATTGCTAAGAATGGCATAAAACCTCACTCACTCACTCACTCACTCACTCACTCACTCACTCACTCACTCACTCACTCACTCACTCACTCACTCACTCACTCACTCACTCACTCACTCACTCACTCACTCATGTAACACTTCAGATATGATGCAGACAGGGGATCAACCCACCTTCAGGCCTTTCTCCACTCAGACACTCTAAAATTATATCTGGTGCCAACTGATCTTTATGCATTGTAGACGCCGCCGTGAAGATGAAGCACTGCAGGCTCGACTACATGAGCTGCAGAGGAAGAAGGAGGAAGAGGAAAAGAAGAGCGCTGTAAGTGTAATGATTGACTGCCGCTGACAGCAAGTAAAAGTAAAATTTCAGGTGATACCTATTATCATTACATGTTGTCACTATTGGCTAGTAATTTCAACTTTTGTCACAATTTGTTGTCATAATATCTCAATACTGACTGAGAAGTCAAAATTATCAAGTTCAGGAAGAACTGACTGATTCCTGTGATTGAAAAAAGACAACAGACTTGTCAAAAGCAATTTGTGGTGATCTTCATGTATATGTCACTATGTGTTTGTTGCTCATGCCTAGTGACCATACCCACATCTGTAAAATGGCCAAAGACAACAGACTTGTCAAAAAAAGGTTGGCACTCGGCATTTATGGGTGCAGCAAGGACTGGTCTGCTCGAGTCAGTATAATGTGTCTTGAGTGGGTATTCATGCTTCACTGCATTGGCATGGTATCTCAGTGAGCTAGCACTATAAAACCAGCTTCAGTCTGGGCTAGTACAAGCAGCCGCAACTTCATACACACATACACACGCATGCATCTCATTGAGCTAGCACCATCATATGGCTAGAAATATTCTCAAGTCTTCTCAAGTACGACGTTAAACCCCATTTCACCTCACCTCTCAGTGCCATAATATGGGTATAGTTCAAACAGACTCGGTCTTCAGCAACCCATGCTTGTTGCAAAAGGGGACTTACAGGATCGGGTGGTCAGGCTCGCTGACTTGGTTAACACAAGTCATCATATCCCAGTTGTGGATATTGATGCTCATGCTGTTGATCACTGGATTATCTGGTTAAGACTTGATTGTTTACAGACCCCTGCCATGTAGCTGGGATATTGTTGAGTGCAGCATTAAACAACAGTCAAACCTAACTGAGCCTCGCTTTTCATTTGATTACAGATCCAGAAACAAAAAGTTATGGAAGCTGAAATGCGCCGACGAAAACTGGAGGAGATGCGTGAAATGATAGGTGTGGAAAGTACTCCTGGAAAATCTTCCCAGGATTCCTCACAAGAAGAGGAAGCTGTGGATGAAAACGAGGACAGCCCTGTGAAGAGCAATAAGGGTTCACCTACGTCCAAGAAATCGAACACTATTGAAAAAATGGAGAACAGTTCAGAAGAGAAATCCACCATGCTTGTTCATAGCAGACGTCAACGTTCAGGATCGTGGGGAGACTTACCGAAGGACACATCTGTGTTGGTGATTCAGAGAGAACAGTCTGAATCGAAACTTACCACCCTTCAACAAAATATAAATGTGTTTCACCCTGTGAAGGAAACATGTGTGAAAATGCTAGATTCGGATCTCAGTGATGATAATAATTCCTGTGAGATTGAGACATTGCAAGTGGTGGATGATGTGATAAAGGACAGTCAGTTGTCTGGGGATGAACCTGATATCATTAAAAGCACTAAAACAAGAACCCCACCAAATACATTGTCTCAGCCAGTGGCGTCACCTAGGAGGAAGAAATCGGGCAGACCTGATGTAAGTTTTGTTTTCTCAGTGTCAGTAGTTTCAGAATTTGTATCTTCATTTTGATGTTATTATCTTAGTTCATGGTTTGCGCCAACTAGTTCTAATACTGATTCCCCACATGGGTACAGTGTGAAGGTCATTTCTGGTGTCCCCCGCCATGATATTGCTGGAATATTGCTAAAAGCGGCGTAAAAACCAAACTCACTCACTCACTCTAAAACTGAAATGAAACTGTTTTGTAAGTTCAGCTGTTAATACTAATGGTCATCGACAACAGAACTAAATGGGAAAGAAACACAAGAAAGTGTGCTTTGAATGTTTTGTCCCTGATGTTTTGGATGGCGAAAACAAGCCGAGGCTTAATTTAAGCAACATTGTTCTTGTACCAAGCAATATCTTAGATGACTGAAACCATAAACTATTCCGTCTGTTCAGGCTATGTACAGTATATTGTTTTGAACTGCAATATTGTTTAAGTGTCTATAGTCCGTTTGGCTCAAAAGCGTACCGATGAATTGCAATCTAACTCGAAAACTTATAAACATAAAATACTCAATGAAACAATTTATGTCCTAAAATTAAAAAAGTTGTTTAACAAACTATCATTAAAATATCGACACAGTTCACTATTTGTTATTAGGGAGGAGTGCAAAGAAAGGGACAGCCGGGTGTGCGAGAAAGGATGGAGACGGTACAGCACAGGTTAATGAATCAATAACTTTGTCGGCACTTGTGCACGTGCTTCTCTAACACCTGGCTGTCCCTTTCTCTGCACTCCTCCCTCGTAACAAATAGTGAACTGTGTCAATATTTTAATGATAGAGTGAACTACAGTACCGTGGTACTATTTTCTCCTGACAGAGCAGCACAAGTGGGTCATCAGGTGCTAACAGTCTAGAGTTACCCGCCCCTGCCAACGTCACAGGTCGTGCCTCACAAGATGAACAGTCTCTAGACCTACGTCATATGATCAGAGACAAGGGTGCACGGCACATTTTGGCTGAGGTAAGAATTTAAAGATTTATATACAATTATATACACAAAACTAAAACATTCTAAAACGTTTGTACTAGAGTTTCAGTGATGATCAGCCCTGTGCTTATGGACTTCTCCAATGTCCTTGTGGATTCTGCCAAAGAAGGATTTTCTACATCCAAATATATTGTCATTCCAAGAAATTCCGTCCATCCATGAAAAGAGACATATTTTTCCTTATCCTGACTCATGCTCTTTTAGCTTGTCTTCTTCTTCTTGCGAACATAGTGGAACACTTGTATGTCCCTAATTGAAGCTCCCTTCAATGTAAAATCACTAATTAGTACTCAGCACGAAGTTACCTCCCTTCCACAAGCTGCGGGGACTTAGAGCCACCTCCACCCATGTGCCTCACTCTCTCCTTCTTAGCTTCCAATGAGCTGGATCGTGAGGCACCTGTGTCTCCGACACACTATATCCTTTTGATTATATTTAGTTAGTTACCTCATTATAGACATCTATAGAGGTTTAGCTAGTATCCTTCAACAATTATATATTGATATTTAGTCGTGTTTCTACTGTTTATTCAATGGATGCCGTGGTTTGTTTCAGTGGATTACGTTGATAAAAATTTCTGTTCTGTTGCAGATTACGCTTTTTATTCTGCTGCTGATCCGCATTTAATATGCCCTAGTTGTACTGCGCCATGTTCATTTTATTCACGTTGCAGTTGCGCGTACTAATTTATCCATTTCTGCCTTTAATAAATAATTACTTTGGCGCTTGAGACGCCAGCAGATAGGTCGCTGTATGCAGAGTCTAGCCATGACTGATACACCTGAACCCTCGCCAGTCTACTGCTTGTTGGTCGACCCCTCCGTCCTGGTGTTCCGCTAGAGTGGTGGAGAGAGGCGTGACGAGTCCACGCCTCCAAGAAGCAAGCCCCTGCTTCCCCAGACATCCCATCGCCGCAGCCGAAGACTAGAGGGTTTCTACTGCATCTCAACGCGTAATCTCTGAGGGAAATCAACGGTCTACTTGAACTTTCTCGCCGAAGATTGTTCCCGTCCGCGAGATTTGGGCCTGTATGATGATCAGCCGATCATCATACCTGATGTACATCAAAAAGAATGACCGATGTCGATAACAGTGATGTCAGCGCCAGATCAACATGCAGCCCTGATGTACCAACGCTGATATTCTATGATCTTCCTGAGGGTCCCGCCAAGCTACCAACACTCAAACGCAGACTTCGCGACTCCCAGGGCAGCGTCGAATCTCTGAGGGGAAATCAACGGTCTACTAGGACTTTCTCAACCGAGATTGTTCCAGCCGCTGAACTGGGCCTCTACGATGATCAGCCGATCATCATCCCCGACGCACGCCACAGAAGCGACGGAGACAGCTACAGTGACATCAGCAGAGATCGCCATGCAGCCTTGAGGTCTCTACACTGGCGCCAGACGACTTCCCTGAGGGCCCCGCCGCTAACATCATAGAGAGAGCACCGACTAATTGCGTCACAGACCATCCCAGATGAACTGTTGCGGCAAATCATGATCATGATGGAGGGCCACTACAGACTGGGAAGCAGCCAGCCCCAAGGCCTGAGTCTTCGCGAAGGTTCCAACGCGAGACGACACCCCAGAGGCACCCCCATCAGCTGCATTACAGCCACGACGAAGCCACCGCCGGCGAAGGAAGTCGCAGACCACCTCCACGGCGACCCAGATGTACAGCCCAGCCGGTAAGGCCTTCGCGGGCGCGGATAGATCATCACCTGCCTCGGCTTCATCCTTAGATGCGGACTCAGACCATCAGACCTCACGCGGAAGCCTTCGCGAAGGTCAAATCGCCGCTCCCCAGGACCGACGCGAGAGGAAGCTTCGCCGAAGGACACCTGACTACACGAGAGCTTCAGCGGCTATCAACATTCTCCTCACAGGTCTCCTAGAAGGTCAACCCATAGACGCGAGATCACCAACATCGATCTCCGCCGCTAACTAACTACCGATCTCCTCGCAGACATCACCACGCCGATCGGTCTCACAGGTCACCACACAAGTCTGCACACAAGTCTACAGTCAGGTCTCCCGAAGGCCACCCGACATAGAGATAGAAACACACAGTCCACCATCAGAAGAGCAGCAACATCTCATCAGCGATGCTGGGATAGAAAATGATGGAGGCATCATTTTCTCAGACGCTGAGATACGATATTGGATGGTAAACAACCTAGATCTCTCTTCACCTTCCAAGAGTGGCAACTCGGGCGCAGACATACCTGATAAAGGAAGAGACGAGGCAGACGCCATCATCACCTTACCTCCGACGACTCGATTGCCGCGGTGCCACAGTATGTGGACACAGCCTACCATAAAAGCCATAACAGTTCAAACGCCAGAGGCGATGTTCTTGGCATTAATAGATCTAGAACGATCAATGAGATTCTTATCACCAGATTTACGCGGACGACTTCTGAAGATGATAGGATGATCTACTCCGGCTCTACTTATGCAGAACCAGCAAGAACCACACCCTGTATGAAGCTAACGCCATATATTGATCGGATTCTAGACACTTCGGCTTAAGGAAGTCCCAGGCCACTTCCTCAGCAAGGAGCTAGAGCCTCACCAGTTACAAGGGGACGCCACGGAGGAGTAGCTGCTTCACCGACCCTACATATTGCTGAGTGCGGTGAAACAAAACACTCACTACCTCACCCTGTTGAACACAGAGGTCGCTCGCGCGGCATAAGCTTCATATATTATATATATACTGATCGGCTCTGATTCGACACTTCTTCGCCGCCAAGGCTAAGTGGCTCCAAGTCTACCTCACACAGGAAATCTAGAATGGATACTTTAGAGCACAAGCTCCGCCCCACCGGCGGAATTCCTCCTCCAAGGTCTCCATATTAGCCACTCGCCATATATAGCTACTCGCCAGTCCGTTCAAGACATCGCATAAGTTGTCTATCAACTGTATGCCATATGCCGCCTATAAGCCTACGCGGGAAGACAATTGCACAGGCTATTTACAACACAAAACGCCGCTATATTAATTAATCAACGACGCTGCATAGATCTTCACAGAAATCAACCTTCCTGCATAGATTGCTAGAATATGCAATCCCGGACTACGATAATGATTATCTACATGCGACTATTACGCAGATCTGCAGACAATTAATATCGAAATTGAACAGCAGCCTTGTTACAGCGAGTATAACTCATAATCGCCAAAGTTTCTGAGAAGAAATATGTACAAGTTCAGCTTTAATTCTACAATTATGACGATACATTCATGTATACAGTCTACAAGCTGACAACTTGCAAGTTTCATTAAATACCTTTACATAAGGAAGTCGGAATTATATTCAAAACTGAAGTTACATTCACGCACAGCCAGGAAAATAACCTACCCAGCATTAATATTACAGAGCTTGAGGTATTTCTCGGCCTCGGAGGTTTTATGCTTACCTTTAACCTCAAACCAGTGGTCACTCGGGTAACTTCGAAGCTACGGTGAAGACCGGCGATTATGCTAATATCAACGACGGCAAGATTTTATACAAGGTTTTTCCTGCTACACCGGGTGACATCACAGCTGGGGTATTCTAAGCAGAATCAAAATGCCTTGTTCTGATTGGACTGGCGTTGGACAACTTCCACTCCACGAGAGGCTCCATCTTAGTTCACAGTTCAAGACTTACGCATAAGTGAAAACTATATATCAGTGAACAGGCAGTGCTCCTTACAGTCCAGTTAATCTGAACCTTCATGATTGGGCTGCTTTCTTCAGGTTAGAGACCTCCCTGTCAAGTTAGGACGAGGGCACGGCAGTCAGGCAATTTTACATAAACTTCAACGAGGGACAGACACACCTGGTTGTGCACCTACATCGGCCAAGGACTTCGCGAGCTTAATAACCTAGACGACGGGATACAAGTGGATCTAAATCCACAGCGCCTCAGACTACAGCTGAATTTCATAATCAAGCTACTAACACAACTAGATGGTTAGTAAACTCTACTTTAAACTTTCTGATTGGAGAATTAAAACGGAAAGTTTCACCCTCCAACTTGGGATCTGAATATAGTGTTCTCCAACACTTCACAAGTGAGGTTTATGAACACTTGGATGACATACTTGGACTCCATGATAATGATGCTGATTCTATCAATGCATGGCCAGCAAGAGCACTGTAAATTTATCTCCACCGAAACAAACAGAAGGGAATAATACAACAGATTATTTCCTCTATCATCAACTTACTTTAGAATGAAATCTCAATGCACTATATCTCCGTTGGATCAGAACTGTCATACTACGCGCGCATACAAGACGGATGGACCCAATCCGACCCTCCATGAGCTTTAATACTCATGATATTAGAGCTTAACTTCTACAATTGATCTACACAATATTATTTGAAATAATGGAGGGTTTATTTTCTGGAGATCCGATATGGTGGTTGCCAACCATTATCTGAGAGATATCATCACCGAGGGACGCCCCAGGTATCCACCAATTCGATCCCATGGTCCTCAAAGACAACAGTTGACAGTTCCTCGGAGAAGATAAGTCAATCTTACAGATTTCTACTTATCTTATAACAGTACTAAATAGCTACATGCTATATATAATTTGCTTTAAGTTCTTTTATCATCACAGTACTATGATTATTACATCATACAATATATAAGTTAACAACTCTACAGAGTTGGTTATTATATATTTACCTTAACCTAATTATATCTTAAGCCATAGTACTATACTCAGATTGTAAAAATATATAAGCTAACAAACCTCTACAGAGTTTGGGCTATTATATAGGTAGCTTAAGCTTATTCATATCTTAAGCTCAGTACTATGTTTATATCATATCAGTATATTAGCTAACAAACTCTAAAGAGTTTTGCTATTTTGGCTTAAGGCTCATCATATCTTTAAGCAATATGGTTACATTATAACATGTATTAGCTAACAAACTCTAATGGAGTTTTTTACTATTATATATGTAACTTAAGCTTATTCATATCTTAAGCGCAATACTATGTTTATATCATATAGGTATATTAGCTATCAAAACTCTAAAAGAGTTTTTTGCTATTATATATTTGGCTTAAGTTTCATCATAATTTAAACTTTATGGTTACATTATAACTTGTATTAGCTAACAAACTCTACGGAGTTTTTGCTATTATATATGTAGCTTAAGTTTTCCTTCAAATCTTAAGCTCAATACTATGTTTATATCATATAAGTATATTAGCTAACAAACTCTACGGAGTTTTTGCTATTATATATGTAGCTTATAAGGTTTCCTTCAAAGCTCAATACTATGTTTATATCATATAAGTATATTAGCTAACAAACTCTACGGAGGTTTGCTATTATATATGTAGCTTACGGTTTCCTTCATAAACTCAATACTAAGTTTATATCATATAAGTATTTTAGCTAACAAACTCTTAAAGGGTTTTTGCTATTATACAATTAGCTTAAGTTTCATCATATCTTAAGCAGTATGGTTACATTATAAAATGTATTAGCTAACAAAACTCTACGGAGTTTTGCTTTATTATATATATAGCTTAAAGTTTAATTATATCTTAAGCTCAGTACTATGGTTATAACATAAAAGTATATTAGTTAATAAACTCTTAGGAGTTTTTTTGCTTATATATACATTTAGCTTAAGTCTAATCTTATCTTAAGCTAGTACTATGGTTACATTATAAATCTATAAGCTAATAAACTCTACAGAGTTTTGGCTATTATATATGTAGCTTAAGTTAATTATATCTTAAAGCACAGTACTATACTCATATTGTAAAATATATTAGCTAACAAACTCTACAGAGTTTTGCTATTATATAGGTAGCTAAAGCTTATTCATATCTTAAGCTCAGCACTATGTCTATATCATATAAGTACATTAACTAACAAACTCTAAAAAGAGTTTTGCTATTATATAATTAGCTTAAGTTTAATCATATCTTAAGCTTAGTACTATGTTTATATTTTAAAAGTAATTTAGCTAACAAATTCTAAGGAGTTTATACTAGCATATTAACAAGCTTAAGTCTATTAGTCTTAAGCATTGTATTAATGTTATAAATACTTTATCATAATAAGTACATTGTAATAACCTTTATATGGCAGCTGATAAGTTAGCAGCAGGAATTCATCAGTTCAGTACCTTTATGAAGTTCCCATAGGGGTTATTACAATCATCACAGTTCAAATCACTAATTATTAAAATCCAAAGTATTATATATTCCCACCTCCCTTTCCGTCCAGTTCTACAAGCAAAAAGGCATGAGTCAGGATAAGGAAAAATATGTAATTTTAGAGTAAAATTGATATTTTATACTTATCCTGACTCATGAGGTAACCCTCCCATCCTCCCCACATAACACTTTGGATTTCCCTGTAAATTCAAATGTTGGGCTCAGTATATGAGGAGAGAGTGAGGCACATGGGTGGAGGTGGCCCCTGGATTCAGCTTGTGGAAGGGAGGTAACTTCGTGCTGAGTACTAATTAGTGATTTTACATTGAAGGGGAGCTTCAATTAGGGAGATACAAGTGTTCCACTATGTTACGCAAGAGAAGAAAAGACATTTTCATTAAACCAATAACTTGACAGCTATTGGTTAAATTCTTTTCAAATTTGGAGATCACCCTCCTTGTCTAAGAGAGAGGTCCTGTGCAATTTTGTATTCAATATAATGTTCATGTCAAATGTCAGTACAGTGCAACGCAAAACACCATATCCTTTGATATTACAGACTCAATAATGTACATCCAGTATGTCAGTGAGGACAAATATATCTTACAGTATTTGAAACTATATCAGTACCAAAATGTGCATGCAGTGTGTTGCTCCTTTGGCAGGTTAATTCGAATCCTGGTTTGTCCGATTACGTTTCTAGGTTTCTCATGACCGTTCATTTTATTTTCTCATGAGTTTCACCAACCGTCTGAGACCCTCATCACTTCTGGCTGTCATCCCACATAAGATGTCATAACGTGAATGTTGTTCATAGAAGCTTTACATTCCACTCACTTTCTTCACTTCAAGATTCACCCATCATGTTAAGGTTTATCATCCGCAGTAAATGTTTACTATCTATATTTTTGGTTTGCACCCAACACACAATGATGTGATTCAGATACTGCTCAAAGCTGTATTTATCTTGTACATTGTTGTCTGTATTTGGTAATTACCTGTTTAATTGCCTCTTCCTGGGGGCCGCATCTTGATAAACAGCAAACATTGGTGTAACGCCCACTCCTTCATAAAGTTTACTGTTTTTCACCAAGATGAGTTCAATAAAAACAGAGTGATGTCCCTTTGGTACCTGAATGGAGTGGCTGGAAAATCACTGCCAAGTGTCAATATCATTGGAATAAATCTATATGTTTTTTGACATGGTTCGTTCTTGCATGGCAGTGTTTCCTTGTGCTATGTCAAGGTGTGTTGTGTCGGACAGACATAGTGCAAACTTGAGTTATGGCTGATGTTTGAGATGAAGGCTTATAAAAGTTAGAGAGATGTTTCACAGTTATTTATGTGTTATGGTGATTACATGTAAACAATGTATGCATATAATGTGTCCGAAAACCCACATTACAAGGATAGCAACACATGACTTTTACACGGGAAAAGGGAGGTAACTCGTGGGTGAGTGTATTTTTACCTCCGCTTCGGGAACTTCAAGGGATTCAAGTGTTCCACTACCATTCAAAAAGAAAAGGGAGATAAGCAAAAGATCATGAGTCAGGATAAGTATAAAATATCAATTTTATTCAGAAAATTACATATTTACAAGGAGAGCAACACTTCATCCCAAGCTATTCCTGTATGTTATTACTAAATTTGTTAATTAAAGCTTTATTTATGTACTTGTCAGGATGCAGAGCTGGATGCGGTGAAGTCAGATGTGGAAATGCCTGATGATGTGCCGGTGTTTTCCATCCATGAAGCCACAGATGAGGAAATGTTCGGGGACAGTGACGATGAAAACAAAGGCAAGAAGAAGAAAACTGACCGAGTCAGACGTCAGAAGTTATCAGAAAGTAAGAAAGATAGTCAAAGAGATCACCCATCCTCTCCGGAACAGCCAACAGGAGGCAGACCTCGTTCTTCCTCGGGCACGCCTCTCACTGATGATGTGAGTACTATTTTCTGTTGTTCAGGGTAAATAGTGGATAGTAGGGGAGCTAGGCGGTGGGGTAGCCTAGTGGTTAATGTGTTTGCTGTTCATGTCAAAGACCTGGGTTCGATTCCCCACACGTGGATAGAAAGTGTGAAGCCCACTTCTGGTGACTCCCGCCATGATATTGCTGGAATATTGCTAAAAGCAGCGAAAAACTATACGCACTCACTCACTAGTGGTTATAGCCTTATCTTGTAACGCCAAAGAACAGGTTCATTTTCCCCTTCAGGAACATTGTCTGAAGCCCATTTCAGATATGCCCAGTTGTGACAAAACTGAAACCTTACACACTTACTCTTTCTTGGTTATTACCTATCTGCTTTTCCTCTTGTAGTTGTTCGTATTGCCCCGAGAGACAAAATAGATTCAGGGCCCCTGTTCTTGAAACTATCTTAGCCCTAGGATATCCTAATTTTGATCCTAGGGTCTGGGATAGGTGTCCTACCTTATTCTCAAAAAGTATCCTAGCGCTAGGATATCTTAACTTAGGACAAATACAAGGATAGGGTCTGACTTGTCTTAAATAAATTGTAGATGAAAACAATATGGCGTCGTACTTGTTTGTTCATGCAATGTCTATAAAAAGAATGCCGAAAGGATATATCGTAACCGGACTGCGCCCCTCGATTTATTCGATGATGTGGAGTTGGTTAATTGATACCGTCTGTCAAGGCGAGCGATTCAAGAGGTGATAGAGCTGTGTTGGCCCGAGCTAGAAAGAGCTACACTGCGTTCAAGAGCCCTAAACCCCGATCTTCAAGTACTAATAACCCTTAGATACCTACGGTCGCCATCTCGCTTGGGCTTGACATTTTGACGTATGCTCGGGGATTTCCCAAAAAGCTGTGACATCACATGGGAATCCCCTTCGCTTTTCTATCTCACCTACTGAAGAGCTCGCTATCCTAGCTGGGATCGGTAGCTCAAGTTGGGACAGGGATAAGATCGTTTCACGAATGAGTCTTATCCTAACGTTAGGATGTCCTAACTTCTGTCCTAACTAGTTAGGACCTGTCTTAGCTGGGACACTTCGAGAATAGGGGCCCTGGTGTCCTATGATGACTAATGAGGATGAAGAGATACGATGCAAGATAGACATGTACATTATCACGGTGTGCCACAGGGCACTCATAAAAATGTTTTTATGTGCCCTTTGGGATTTGAGCATATTAACACAAACAAACTTTGTTCATGTTTATCCAGTGTATGCTAGGAGTCAAAAGAGGTCAAAGAACACTTATGTTTGTTATTTTTTTACAAATTACATCTCTTGAACTCAGCATATCAAATTTGTTCAACCAATAACTTTACAATCATTTAATATGTTTTTCAGATTTGGGTAATGGCTACTTATTTTACAGGAGACAAGGTGTAATGAAAAGATTAATACAAATCTTGTATTTTTGTCAAGAATAATCTTTATTAATTGTTGTTCATCTGAAGTTAGGAGCTACAGTGAGGGCTATTGTTGAGCCTTGCTCACATTTCTTGGCTTGTTGTTAATGTGTCATGGCCGGTGTGAGCTGCAACACGCAGCCCTCCAACTATAGGTGTTTTTGAACATGTTTTAGTAGTATAAAGTCAACAACATAAACAGCTGTCAATTTTTTCCAGTTCTTACAATTTGTGAAGTATTTGTTTTGTAAGTGGTAAAATGTTCATGGTTCTTGAATTCTCCCTTCCTGATCTACAGGAAATCCTGGCACTGGTGATGGTGAAGAATCTCGACACAGGGGAGACAATCCCGCTCAACCAAGCTGAGGAACACCTACCTAAATGTCTGAATCCCCTTGACCTTCATATAGTCCAAAGAACCAAAGAATTCAGCACGTAAGTCTGGCACTTGCAATAGATAGGATAGGAACTAGGTGTCTGATTGATGGTGGTGGTCCCTGTTGGTCTTCAGGACAAAATGGGTTCCCATTCAGTGTTCTACGACCTGACCAGTGAGAATCGAGGATGGTTGTAGCCTCATGTTGACCACATATGTTGCAGACCAGAGCTTCAATGAGGGATGGGATATAGCCAGACTGGTAAAACCATAGGTGTTGAAATACTTAAATTTTCCCTTGCCCAAGGACAAATATACTTAAACATTCTAGTTGCTCAGGCTGATTTTCAGCTTGCCCTGCTAAATCAGAGAAAGGAAGAATCAACATACATGGCAATGATTCAAGTCATTTTCGTGGATTTGATTAGGGTTAAAGGGTTGTGGGGTAGCCTAGTGGTTAAAGCGTTGGCTCGTCACGCCGAAGACCCGGGTTTGATTCCCCACATGGGTACAATGTGTGAAGCCCATTTCTGGTGTCCCCCGCCGTGATGTTGCTGGAATATTGCTAAAAGCGCGTAAAACCAAACTCAGTCAGTCAGTGCTCCCTCATATAATGTCAGTGATTAGAGGTTGATTACACCATAGACTGACACACTTACAGTCAGAATTGACCCAGAGTGACGTGGCAAAGGCCTCTCATCAACTTTTCTCAAAAATCTCAGGGCCAGTTTTTGACAAAAGATTAAAGACTATAAATAGCATTTTGAAAACAAGCTGGGTAATCTCAAAACAATTGATTCCAGTTGTGTATATACCCAGTTGTGTATATGCCCACAGCAAGCACCTGTCTTGCATCCTGTTGTTGCATGTTTTAGTGATGGCCACAACGCAGGCACACAGTCCGATGAGGATGACAGGCTGTCCCAGGTCGGCTCGGTTGCACAGCTTGGGCAGGGAGCTAGGAGGAAAACGTAAGATTTTTACTGAACTGTGATGTTTTTCTCCATGATCCCTTTTTACAATATGTTTCATGCCATGTATTACCACCAATGGTATTCATTATTGTTCAAGTTCAACTTGTGGTTTGTCTAATTAAGATAGATATGATTTGGTCATTCGATCCTATCCCTCCCTCCCTCACTCACTCCTCACTCACTCACTCACTCACTCACTCACTCACTCACTCACTCACTCACTCACTCACTCACTCACTCACTCACTCACTCCTTGTCATGTATTGCTAAAATGGAATGTGAAATTAGGAAATGGGTAGGTCTTAAGAAAAAAAAAAACCCAGGTTCAATTCCCGACATGGGTACAATGTGTAAAGCCCATTTCTGGTGTCCCTCAGCATATGATAATCCTGGAATATTGCTAAAACCGGTGTAAAACTAAACTCACTCACCCACTCACTGTTAGACAATGATGGTAAAGTTGTTGTTAGGCATGTAAACGCTGAATAAAACCTGGTTTAGAATAGGCGGTGGGGTAGCCTAATGGTTAAAGCGTTGGCTAGTCACGCCAAAGACCGGGTTCGATCTTTCTGATGTGAAAGATGCTGATGACCTTGTGATGTTGCAGGAAGAAGCTGAGGCGGCTGTTTGGAAAGACCATCAGTAAAGTGAAGTCTGCTGCAGATCATGGTAAGTGGTATAGGGAAGGTTCTTCATTGCTACACCTGTATATTATCAATTGGATATATCAGTTAAATACAGTCCAGTATGATAATGAGAGGTGGTAGTGTGGCAGTGTTACATCATGCTCTATATCAACCACAGACACCTGTATCAGCCCACAGGCCGATCTGATTCCTTAAAAACTGTGAAGCCTAGAAAATGCCTGACTCTTGACTGAGCACGAATACTGTTCTTGGTAAGGCTGACGTTGACAAGTTGTAAATGAAACTACCAGGCATTGAGCTTGTCGAACATTTTTCATTCTCAATGATCTGAAAACACTTAATGCTAGTGTTAATGTAAGTGTTTCTTTGATGGAGTTCAATATGAGGACCAAAGTTAAAACAAATCCCCAGCACTCAAGTGCTTGTTAAAATTGTGAACTGCAATCCATCTGATCAGATACAGCAGGTTCATTTCGTTGCTAGGCACAACCAACACCATAACCAAATATTTATTATTCAATCATTTTTCTGAGTGTAATTTTGTCTCAGTATTATTCTTTTCTTGTCAGATTATTTCAATTATGTATCCAGCTATATTGGAACCGTGTACTGGAGCGGCGTTTATATAAGCCACTAGGCTTGTTCGCCTATCCAGGTTTCTGCATTGACGGAATAAAAATATGTTTAAACCAGATACAGCAGGCATGACATGGTAACCCATGTGTGGTATGTTGTTCTTGACGTCGACCACTGGATTGTGTAGCCCAAACTTGATTATTTACAGGCCACCACGATATACTTTCAATATTGCTGACTGCTATGTAGAACACCAACAAGCAAGCAAGTGTTGGCAGAGCTGTATCTCTTGACTGTAATTCAATGAAACTTACGTCACTTTGCTATGTGATAAATTTATTAACATAAATGCCCTTCTTGTCTAGGAGGCCCTCAACTCTGCAGCACAACATATTAGTGGTATTCAGCTTCTAATCAGTCATTTTCAGCATGGGAATTTACAATTACAATTGAATTACAAAAAGAGAACACCTGGCAAGAATTAAAACAAATGAGAATTACCTCCCCTTGACTTGTCACTACAGGGGGCGGTGGGGTAGCGTAGTGGTTAAAGCTTTCGTTCGTCATGCCGAAGACCCGGGTTCGATTCCCCACATGGGTACAATATGTGAAGCCCATTTCTGGTGTCCCCCGCCGTGATATAGCTGGAATATTGCTAAAAGTGGCATAAAACTAAAACTCACTCACTCACTGTCACTACAGTTTATCTCATTCAGAAAGCATTTTTTTGTAATTGACAAGTAAAATTATGATTGTTATATGGATAGGATAAAATGGGGAAAAGATTGTTTGCAATCATCCTAAGTCGTGTTCTTTGAATAAGGAGACTATTGAATTCATTGACTCAAGGCTTCTGTTGTTGCAGCTTTGTACGGTGATGAAGCTGGTATTGAAGCAGACTTCCCTTCAGATGATCAGATCTTTAAGGTATGGCACAAGTGATGTGAAAAAACAGCCTGTGTTTGATTTCTCTTATCTTTCCTTATCCTGACTCATGTATTTTTGCTTGTCTTCTTCTCCTTGCGAACGTTAGTGGAACACTTGAATCCCCTTTTTGAAGCTCCCTTCAAAAAAGCAGACGTAAAATCACTACTCACCAAGAGTTATCTCCCTTCCAGTTTTGGTGGGATGTGAATAAACAGCCTGTGTTTGATGTTTCCTGATTATATTTGTTTACAAGGACCATTTTGTGGTGATAATGCTGCCTCAAATGTTGCAACAGCACACAATGAGCAACACAGACATCTCAAAACTTGCCTGTGGCTTCACAAATTTCAGTCAGGATAAAGATTCTGAAATATCCCTAGCCTTTACCTGAAGTTTTGTTATTGTTTTTTTTTATACATACCTCCTGTTTCTGTAGATCATCAAGGAGTAAAGTTGTGAGTTACGAATTACACTGCATTAGATTAGTTAACTCATTCTATTTGGTTACAGTTTATCCCTGGATCTCGAACTCCTGAATCTCGAATCTTCTACGTATCTCAAACCTAATCTCCGGTCCCAACCTCTTCTTATATATATACTGAGTCCAAAAAAGAAACTTCACATTCTTTCTTCAGGGCACTATAAAAGAACAAGAGATGGTAAGATGGTTAAATTGTTATTTCATTGCTGAGATCTGTGTGATGTACTCGATACACTGACAGTGCCATAATCAGTTCCATTAGGCTACACCGCCGTTCCAAAACATGGGTATACAGAATGTCAAGTCACAAGAATAAAAATGCGAAATTTCTCAGTTCAATATCGTGTATGGCCGCCTCGCGCATTCACCACTGCCAAACACCGTCTCCTCATCGACTGCCTGATGCTTGTGAACACGTGGTTGGGGATTCTGTGCCATTGCTCTTGCAAGGCAGCCAAGTTCCTGCAAATTCTGAGGTTGGTTACTAAGACCACGAAGCCTTCTCCCAAGTGCATCCCAAACGTGCTCTATTGGATTAAGGTCAGGGGACCTTGGCCAGTCCATGACGTTGATTCCAGGGTTTTGAAGGAAGTTTCATGTCAACATCGCTGGTATGCAGCCAAGCATTATCATGCTGGAACTGTAGACCTGGGCCATGAGCCGCCATGAAAGTTTGCAGTAAGCAGCAGCTGTTCAGGGAAGTGAGCACCTGGTTGCAGTCTGTCGAGTACAGCAGCTACCGTGAGGTTTCCAGACTCTATACCTGCGATGACCGAGAATCAGAGGGTAAACATGGATTCATCGAAATCTTGATTCCAGGCTCTCTGGGTCCATTGAGGTGACGTTGGACGAGGCGTTGAATGGTCTTCAATATTGGCCCACAATATGGACGTCGAGAATGGAGATTGGCAGCCCGCGATTTCTGAATGGTCTGTAGGGGACACTCGACCTCTAGACATCTCAGCCCTGGTTCATGTAATTCGGCAGAAATCAGCAGTGGTGCCAGTTTGTTGTAGACCGCGATCCGACCTTGGCGTCCATACACAGTACATACGGCTGCATCCCATTGCTCTTGCGGCGTCAATAACTGATCTTCCCGCTTGCAACATGCCAATGGCACGCTCACGCTGCACATTTGACAATCGTGGCATTTCAAGTACCGTTAGAACTGTGGTTTAAGAGTGTTTTTTCAATTCTTGAGGCCAATGCAAACACGTGCATATGAAGAAAACATCGATGCGAAGATCACGTGATCGACTGCACGTGCAAAACCTGATTTGGCACTAACATCATTTGCACGACGAATGGATGGGTTTGAGTGAGTTTTGCTAACATTATTCTAGAGTCGAAAGATAGGGATCCCATTTCGGATACATAGATGTATCATCAGAGAAAAATTATTCATTACTTTTCAAGTTACATTTTGTGAAGTCTCTTTTTTTGACTCAGTATATTTATCATTATTTTTGTATTTATATCTCGAAGTTAGAGATTGACATACACACGATATCTCGAACCTGAAAATTAGTCCCAAGATCACGAAATCATATACATTTTGTATCTCAATCTCGAACTGTACTCCCCATAACAAACATTTTGGAGACATGTTCAATACGTTGTCAACAAACAATTAGTTGTATAAACAATTGCATTTACAAGGTTAAATAACGTGAGGATTAGTTAAATTGAGTTCACCGTGTCACTGCCACTTTGTTTTGACAATCATCTTTGAAGCTATGACACGTGAGCAGTTAACCAGCTTCATCCCCCGCTTCATCCACCGCTTGTGAAGCCCATTGCTGGTGTTCCCCGCCGTGATATTGCTGGAATATTGCTAAAAACGGCGTAAAACCATACTCAGTCAGTCAGTCATCCACCGCTTCATCTACCGCGCGTTGGTACATAAAAAAGACGGACCACTAAACATACAGATTAGGTAAACCGAGTTATCAGGCAATTTCAAGAAACAGAAATCCATCAGTGACTTTTTCCGTATATGAATTATTCCGCTTTTTGTATGACACTCCTTGTCACGTTATCAATATGGCTGCTGAACAGATGTACACTGTTGTGTACATTGTACATGTAATAAATTTTTAGAATACAGTTTTTATATTAACCATAATTTATGCTTTTAATTATGTATCTTGTGTATGATGGTTACTGTGAAAAGAATGAAAGAATGAAACTAGAGATTTTTTGTTTTCTACGTTGTCGTATACAAGTTCAATATATGGAGTACTGTACACAATGTGCATATATACAATGCATTTCAATCTCGAATCACACGATATCCCAAACCTGTCTTGATGGTCCCTTGGGGTCGAGATCCAGGGAGTTTACTGTAGTTTAATTGATATGACATTTTGCATATGTAAGCAAGTGAAATTTGAGGCAGTATTTTGAGGCAGTACATAGATTACATATTATGAGTCTTCTCCTTTGTTACTCTCCAGATCAAGGCATCCAGAAGCAACAAAGGACCATTTGACTTCTCCCAGCCGCGTGTGATGCAGGACCTCAGTGGAGAGCACAGTGTAAGGCACTCTCTACAACATACAGTCAGGACAGTAGACAGTAGTTGACTGCTACAGTAACCTGTAAAACACCTGATTCAGGCCAACAGTCACTCAGTGTGTCTTATGATGTTCCTGGTCTGTTCATAGCATACAGCTGTTGACTACCACAGCAGCTTAAACACATGAGTCAGGGTCTCACCTCTTTGTGCTATTCATAACACATTCAGTTGGGTATCCTAGGTGTGATGTAGGGCATCATTGTTAGTAGGAGCTAGTGGTGGTCCGATTAATTGAAATAATCGAAGATTGGTCGCAGTGACTAAACGACCAAGCAATCGATAATATTTTCTCATAATCGAACACAAACAATCCTGGAACACTTGTTTTCATAAACAATATTTTCACAAGGGTGGTTTTGTCTGTTACATTCCATAAGCACTACAAGTTTGTTTCAAGTCATAATTGAATTTACCATTAACGACTCTAAGAAATTTATGTTCCTGACATACTAGTCATCCTTTAAAGATGTGAAATTTTGCCAAAACAAACAAAAGAACTAATGTTTTTTCCTTATTTTTATATGTATTTTTTCGATGATTGATCAGTTGTAATGAACCAATCATCAATTATGAGATTTTAACCAATTCCCAACACTAGTAGGAGCAAATGCTGTCTTGAAACAAACCTTGTGCAGAGTTGCTTCCCTTGGGCAGACCAAAACCTATGATTGTAAGTTTGAATACAGGTTCATGCCTGTTGGTTCTAGACTTGTCAACACCATATCAATGCTCGTGGGTTTCATGAAAGTGGTAAATGTCTGAGACACACTTCACTTCTGATTTTCTTCCGAAACTGAAATACTGATCAAAGCAGCATTGAACAGAGCAAACTTGAATGCTAATACACCTACCAAAACTTATCTGTTTGCCCATAATTCCTTGTTATTCTGTTTCTTGTAAATGTTCAACTGCATTATGAAGAAACTTTGCTCTAGTTTCTACTGTTTACTAAAACTACCAAAACTCTTATGGCGAATAAGCCTGGACTTTTCAATGAACTTAATTCACTCACATCTGTCTCTATGTGAACAAATTTGAAAATTGTTAAAATTTTGACAAATATAGTGAGCAAGTCTTTTTCATATTTAAAGGATGTTATCTAACATGGCTTTATATGATGTCTCCTTTTTCAGGGTGCTATATGGACCATGAAGTTCTCTCCATGTGGAAGATTGTTGGTATGTAGATCTTAAAGATCAGTTTTTCAGTGAAAAATTTGCAGCTCACCTTTCTTCAGTATAGTTTGCACATGCGTGTGTGCATGAGTATGCGCGTGCATGCATGCGAGAGTGAGTGAGTGCATGGGAGAGAAACTACAGTATTACAGCTAAATGATGCTAGTCTGTATATACCTAAGCCTGGATTGACAAACCAGTGACTGATGTCATGAGCATATGGGATACATTAACAGGCATTTACCTGGAATCCTGTATTTGAGGGTCCCTGAGACTCATACTCTTAATTTTCAGGGGTCCCAGACACTTAAATATTATTATTAATACTGTTATTGTATTGTGTATCATGATCATCGCATTGTTGCAGTAATTAAATTGCAAATGATACCATAACCCAGCTAGTAGTAAACTCTGTGTTAACCCTGTAGATGTGCCAATAAATTTTGTTGTCTCCATTGTCAATTTTTATGTGTATAGGATGCAGGAATTTGCGTCCTGTAAATCCCTGATTAACATGTAATCAAACAAGTCAGTGATCCTGATTGCCCTAGCTATTTACTGGCTGTTGGAAGTAATGCTAGGTTGCGAGGGGCTTATATTTGTTATCACCTCCTGTGTGGACTTTATCAGTATTTTGGTGAATTTGCCATGTTACATGAAAATTTACTTGTAAGGCATGCTTCCTATCTAACACTTAAAATGCTTTCTCCCAGTAACTATGGAATCTAGTGTAAAACTTTACGTGCGTATATTTTTCCACAAAAAAGCAGTGCAAAGGAAAAAAATAATGTCATCATTGTCAGGGTTTGAAATACCCCATATATTAGCATGCCATGGCACGGTAAATTATAAATATCGAAATGGCACTGATAAAAATTTCTCGGTGCACCTATGGCACGCCTATTTTTTTTAGAGACATACCACACCTTTAGTCACTTAATAACCAAACAAAACACTTATGCAAATGACAACCAAGTAAAAACATTTATTGACTTTATCGCCCAGGAAATCACTGGAATGATGATGGCTCATGTAAAGAAATCTGGTTGTTGATTTTTCATTTAGAGTGTTGGGAGTACTGATAGTTCAGTTATTGAAGAGGAAATTATGTATGTTAGATTTATTTCTGAAAGGCACACCTAAAATATTTGCCTGGTGCCATAGGGCACACCTAAAATATTTGCCTGGTGCCATAGGGCACACTTAGAACAAAAAGTATTTCTATCCCTGATTGTGTTCTGGTAGGCATGGCAACTTCCTTTCTTTCTACAGGCAACTGGAGGCCAGGACTGTGTGCTAAGAATCTGGGTGTTAAGAAGTGCCTACAGTTACTTTGACGATATACGACAGCGGTATAGTGATGGTATGTATGTGACTTTATGTTTGATAAAGGTGTAAACCTTGGGTCATTGTATGAAAGTGCTGTGGCAGAATATCTCTTGGAACCTTTCTGTATCTAAATCTGTTATGTTATTGCATGCAGCTTTCTCCAGAGTAACAAATGTGCTGTGGGATCATGTCATCTTCAGCTGTTTACATGATGGCTTATTGCATAGACCCATTGATCAACGATATTGTATTGATGGTGAAATTTTCCTTACTTTGTTTTCGACCGCCTCCGTGGTGTAGTTGGTTAGAGCGGAAGGTTGCGGGTTCGATCCCCGACCACGTCAAACCAAAAGACGTTAAAATATGGTACTTGTTGGTCCCTGCCTGGCGCTCGGCATTAATGGGTACAAGGACTGGTCGGTTCGGAGTCAGTATAATGTGTCTGAGTAGGGTATTCATGCTTCACTGTGGCATGGTATCTCAGTGGGCTAGCACTATAAAACCAGCTTCAGTCTGGGCTAGTACCAGCAGCCGCACATACACATACACAAGCATGCACATCGTCATATGAGCGAAATATTCTCAAGTACGACATTAAACTCAATTTCACCTCACCTCACTTTGTTTTCAGTAGGGCTTACTAAGATCAATTTGTAATTGGCTAAGTGCTGAGTTATTGTATTGGTTCCTGAAGGTGCATATTTGGGAAATGTTAGTTACCTGACAGCAATCTTCTGTTTCTCAACATTGATGTTGTTATATTGCTTGTTGTATTGGAACTATGGGTGGAGTTGTTGATTGATCATGGAACTGTATCTCTCTCTCTGTGGCAGCCAACATCACACCAGCTCACTCACAGGAGAGTCTCAACACGCTGGGATCAGAAGCATCATCGTTGGGACCAGGGGTAGGTACAAGAGGCTCAAGGAGAAGAGACTTACTGCTGAGTATACGACATATGCCACATTGTCAGTTTGTATAGGTGTGATAGTTATACATGTATGTGCAAGAACATGGGTGAGTTTTATGCTCCATGGAAAAGAATTAAAGTGATATCATTTATGGGAGGGCTGAAAGTGGATTGATAACTGTGTTAGAACCTATACTAAAATGTCTTTCCCAATTCTAATGAAGTTGTTCATCCGTCCATCTTCCCTCACTTAGCAGCAGGACCCTTTCTGTCATGTTTCATGTATCCACAGGTTATTGATTTCACATCTGGTGAGACCCGTGAAGGTCTGGGTTAGAATATTGGCCTTCAGTAACCCATGCCTGTCGTAAGAGGTTAACGGGATCAGGTGGTCATGTTCGCTGACTTGGTTGACACATGTCATCGGTTCCCAATTGCACAGATCATGCTGTCGATCACTGGATTGTCTGGTCCAGACTCGATTATTTACAGACCGCCGCCATATAGCTGGAATATTGCTGAGTGCAGCATAAAACCAAACTCACTCACTCATATCTGGTGCAAACATGGACACTTTTTACTGGCATGAAGTAAAGCATGTGTAGAAATGAAAAAGTTTTCTCCTTTTTTGTCGTGAGTCTGTGTTGTAGTGTTTGCATAGTTAGGGCAGAAGCTTGCAGTTTTATGTAGGATCTCGGGGAAAATGTCTGCATGAACCAGGTGATGTCATGTTTTGACTTTGTTCTACAACTTGCAGTCAACCTACCATCCAGACGACGATACGAGGAACACGGACCCTTCTCAAAGAAGCCTTTCTGTACATATAGGGGCCACAGTGCTGACCTGCTCGATGTGTCATGGTCAAAGGTAAGTACTAACTCACCCAATATTGTAACCTGATTCATATGTCATGGTCAAAGGTAAGTACTAACTCACCCAATATTGTAACCTGATTCACATGTCATGGTCAAAGGTAAGTACTAACTCACCCAATATTGTAACCTGATTCATATGTCATGGTCTAAAGGGGTAGTGATAACGAAGGGTATCAGTTAGTCACATCGTGTAAGTTAATATTGAATCATTGTCTGTCGTGTTCCACCAAATATCTGTGAGCCTGGTCCAATCTGATTTAGTTGGGATGGCCATGATATGGTCGATTGACAAACGCTTGTGAATTTCACTGACAGGAGCCAGATTCATGTGGAAACTGATCAGTGTAATTATCTCTCTTATTATGGTTTTGGTTTTCTTTCTTTCCAGAATTACTTTATCTTGTCCTCCTCAATGGACAAGACAGTACGACTATGGCACATCTCACGAAGGGAATGCCTGTGTACCTTCCAACACATAGACTTTGTCACAGCTATTGTGTTTCATCCCAGGGTGAGTCACGCATCTTACAATTACATCTTGAAGAAATGAGGTGGATTGTCTCATCATAAGTGTCACTGCTTAGTCTAGTCTGATTAACTGTAGGAAACCTCTATCACCACCAAGTGGTAAGTTCCTCATTCTGCTATGTTTCTGTTACATACAAACAGTAAAGTCATTCCTGGGTAGCTTTTGCCTGACCTTGTACTCATTCCCCATTGTCCTTCCACACATATTATATTGTGCTTCAGCTACCTTTATAGTCTGTCTCGGGGGTCTGTCTCGGGGGTCTGTCTCAGGGGTCTGTCTCGGGGGTCTGTCTCACTGGAACATTGCTCAGTACATTAGGAAACAAATATTCAAGAAATACAGTATCGTACACCAGTGTGAGACCATCCTGGAATATAACCGTTCCAAACATGAGTCATAGACCACCTCTGTGTGAGCGAGTTTCGTTTTACACCGCTTTTAGCAATATTGCAGTAATATCAAGGCAGGGGAAACCGGAAATGGGCTTCACACATTGTACCCATGTGGTGAATCGAACCCGGGTCTTTGGCATGACAAACGAATGCTTTGACCACTAGGCTACACCATCGTCCCAGACCACCCTGGAAATAACACAGCGCCAAACAGAATGTGTGAAAGTATCCTTGTATGTTATATTGTATTACTGGATTACCTCATACATATACTGTGTTATTCTATAGATTCCAGGATACATTCTTATATTTGGTTCTATGTTATATGTATTCCAGGATGACCGTTATTTCTTGAGCGGATCACTCGATGGCAAGCTATAGATCCAGGGAACATTCCTGACAAGAAGGTAACACTGTATTCCATGAAGTATCTTGAGCGGATCCTGGATGGCAATCTCATCACCACCGCCAACTTCTGTCAGAGCGGCAAATATGCAGTGGTGGGGACATATGCAGTGGTGGGGACATACGACGGGAAGTGTATCTTCTACACCACAGAGGTAAGCCCCGGGGTGGTTGTCAGGGGATAAAGGTGCTGTAAGCTGAAGAAGACCAGTCAGTGGAAGGATGTTATGCTACACATTGTCAAAAACCCTTTTCTTAAATGAAAGTTTTGGTTGCCTGGTTGATAAAAGTCTTCCCCACACTCCATCAAGACTTAGTTTGGTTGATGGTAACGGACTGTAAACCCTATTCTAGGGGACGCCACTCTAAACTTTTGGTATCTTAATAACCACAACATTCATTAGAGCTTGCCCCCTCACCCATCAAAATGATGACTATAGACAATGAGTTCCAAGATATTTCAACATACAGTAACAGGGGTGGAAATAACCCATTGCCCGACGTCCGAGTCCAGTGTTTTTTTCTGTCGGCAAGCAAATTTGTATATCATGCTGTACCGGTGTCCAGTTTACTTTCCAATGTTAATTATGCTGTTTCTTTAAGAAATCAACAAGAAAATCGACCGGTATAGTGGAAAAATTATCAGGGCAAGTGATTTTACATGTGCCACTGTACCGGAGTACACTAGCAATTTTAAAGTTATTTCCATCCCTGAGTAACCTATGGTATAACAACTAATTGCAGTTGTTACAAGTATACCAACTAAAATATACAGGGATGAGAATTCCACGGATTTTATTGCGCTGGGGTCATTCTTGTGAATCATCTAAACCTGCAGCCCCCAAGACCCCAGCTCATTTTCCTCTTTGTTCAATTATACCCATTCTCATCCCTGAATATAGAGCAAGTATCTGGGATCGAAAATATATTTTGGAAATTGGAAGCCTGGAAATTGTAATGTTTCAAGCATCTCATTTGTAAACTAGCTCTGCTTCTCCTAGTGTTGACCCACCTTGATATTGCTGGAATATTGCTAATAGCGGCGTAAAACCATACTCACTCACTCTCCGAGTGTTGAACAAACCCCACTGTGCTTGTAAGTGCTTGATATATTGAGTTGAAAATATGGATGCTTGACAAGAAATAATCTAAACTGAAACTTAAGGTCAAGGTCGCTAAATGAAAAGTATTGAGGTTGCTTACCAGCCAGAATTGTCCCGCAGCAGTAGATGCTGGTGTCACAATGTGGAGGTGACAGTGTTCTTTTACTGTATTAATAAGAAAGGATATAATGCCGTATACGGGACTCCAGTGCTCGCCCAAGCGGAGAGAGTGACAAGTAAGGCTGGTCACATGACTGTTTTCGCGGGAAAAGGGCAAAAGGGAGGTAACTCGTGGGTGAGTGTATTTTTATGTCCGATTCAGGAACTTCAAGGGATTCAAGTGTTCCACTACCATTCAAAAAGGAAAGGGAGATAAGCAAAAGATCATGAGTCAGGATAAGTATAAAAATATCAATTTTACTTGAAAAATTACATAATTATCTTTCACTGCAGCAACTGAAGTACTTCACACAGATCCATGTACGGTCAACAAGAGGCCGCAACGCCCGAGGTCACAAGGTCACAGGCATAGAGCCGGTGCCAGGGGAATCCAAGGTGAATACCAGATGCTTTAAGTTACTAAATATGTGGAGATATGTTTGTAGAATCTGTGGGGCGGTGGGGTAGCCTAGAGGTTAAAGCGTTGTCTCGTCACGCCGAAGGCCCGGGTTCGATTCCCCACATGGGTACAATGTGTGAAGCCCATTTCTGGTGTCCCCCGCCGTGATATTGCTGGAATATTGCTAAAAGCGGCGTAAAACTAAACTCAGTCAGTCAGTCAGTCAGTAGACTCTGTTTCAATCTAGTTGCAGGTTATCTGAAGAGGTGAATCAACAGTGTACATGCTAAGTCTTTCGCAATAGGTTAACACATCCATTCATGTTTGAATACTGATAGTAATGTGATTTATAATAATATATGGAAATATGTTTGTATGGGGGATTGTATATTTCGTACTTTTTAGATTCTCAGGGATGTGAAGATATTATGTTGTGTTATGTGTCAACTACTGAATTAAAACGATATGTTAACCCAGAAATCTGCTTACATATACAGATAAATTCAGTTTGAAACTAACAAACAACAAAGAAATGTTATGAGTTACCAATTCTATTAGGTTTACAAATCAATTACAAATTACTTCAATACCTTGGCTTATGGCCACCCACCTCCACACATTCTGTCTGATCACGATCAGGATAGAAAGTGATTTTTGCAAGGTTAGTTATCTTGTCTTGGCTGCAGGCCAGACAGGGCCCTACAGGGGTGGTTGAACAACACAAAAACAAATTTTTACTTTTGTGAAAAACAAAATTTTCGAAATATAGTTACAACTGTTGGACTTTTTAATGGACATAAAAATGCGTATAAGCACCCCAAGCAGGACTCTCAGAATCAGCAACCTCTACAGGTTGGTGTGAGTTGTTAAAGCAATAACACCAGTGGTAATAGTATTCGCCCAGTAGCGACAGTAGTCAAGTTTCCTATATAGGGATCATCTGGATATCAGGGAGAAAGGATGATCTTCTCACAACTGCTGGTCTTGATGTAATGAGAGAGGACCGAGGCAGGCATGTGCCCACTTGTGTAGTCTTGAAAAATTTCCAGAATGTTCTATACTATAGTTAATTAATGTGTGTTGTCCCACAAGGTTCCAGTCTGTTCTGGGGCGGTGTGGGGTAGCCTAGTGGTTAAAACGTTCGCTTGTCATGCCGAAGACCCGGGTTTGATTCCTCACATGGGTACAATGTGTGAAGCCCATTTCTGGTGTCCAACTGCCGTGATATTGCGGGGATATTGCTAAAAGCGGTGTAATACTAAACTCACTCACTTACTTACTTCAGCCAGCTCTTGACCCCAATAGTATCTGAATATAGCAACTGACCGCCTTTGTGGTGTAGTGGTTAGAGCGTCCGCCCGGAGAGCGGAAGGTTGCAGGTTCGATCCCCGACCGCGTCATACCAAAAGACGTTAAAATATGGTACTTGTTTGTCCCTGCCTGGCGCTCGGCATTAATGGATACAACAAGGACTGGTCGGCTCGGAGTCAGTATAATGTGTCTGAGTGGGGTACTCATGCTTCACTGCGGCATGGTATCTCAGTGGGCTAGCACTATAAAACTATAAAAAAGTCTGGGCTAGTACAAGCAGCCTCACATACACATACACAAGCATGCACGTCGTTATGTGAGCGAAATATTCTCAAGCACGATGTAAAACCCAATTTCACCTCACCTCACCTGAATATAGCAACTGCCACACAACATCAGAGTCTAATACTGTTTAAATACAATGCAATATATGTCTGCTGAGTCACAACTGAAATTATGTAAACAACTCAAAAACAGTTAATAACTTGTTTAGACTGGTTCATGTCACTGTTCATCAGATGCTGGTGACATCAAATGATTCCCGTATCCGGCTGTACGATCTGGTCGACCTGACTCTGTCTATCAAGTACAAGGGAGGGACCAACACTTCCAGTCAGATCAAGGCTGGCTTCAGGTAACACCCATCACCTCTTATATTGATGTCCCCACCGTGATGTTGCTTGAATATTGTTTAAAGCGCGTAAAACCAAATTCAGTCAGTCGGTCAGTCTTATATTGATATTGTGGTGAACTGCATGTGTTCATTTCGGGGAGGGTTTTAGTTTGGTCCTTAAAGCTGCACTATAGGAATGTTCCATCTACATGTATATGGTAACAATGGAATCTGGACTTGTCAATCCAGTGATCAACAGCATGAGCATCGATCTATACAACTGGTTTGTCAACCAAGTCAGCGAGCATGACCACCGATCCCATTAGTCACCACTTGCAACAAGCATGGGTTGCTGAAGACCAAATCTAACCCAGATTTTCACAGGCTCGGAGAAAGGTTGGGGAGGGTGCAGTGTTGTTTCAGTTAGATGGTCATGCTGAAGGGATGATCCTTCCGTGAGAACAGTCCAAAGCTCCAGATAAACTCACCTGACCTAAATCACCAATATCTTAATACATTTTAAAATGCTTGTGTTCATAAACACATTAAGAAATTGAAATATTTACGCTTGCCACAGCCAAAAATTGTTTGCTGTAAAAATCACTGATGTGTGGCATAATATATTAATGCACATGTTCCAGGGAAACTTCAGTGTTCAGACACTGTTTGAGAGATATAGACTGTTGTATGTTGTGGAACAAAGGCTTACTATATGCAGCGTTTATTCCTGAAGCAGGATATTTACCATTCCAAAACACACTAGTCTTGTATCATCTATACCCCTGAATGATGATATGTCAACATCCATTGTGAGGACAATTTCACCAGAAACGATAACTCACGTATAAGTCTGAATGTGGAGGAATATGTAGGAATGAAATCAAGTGGTTACACAGACTAATTATTCAAGGACCATAGGGATGTCAGGGGCAGCCTTTGCTCGTCATGCCGAAGGCCCGGCTTTGATTCCCCACATGGGTACAATGTGTGAAGCCCATTTCTGGTGTCCCCCGTCTGATGTTCCTGGAATATTGCTAAAAGCAGCGTGAAACTGAACTCACTCACTCGCCCCATGCGGATGTCAAGCCTGACATGGGCTGATGTGAAACTCAACACTTCCCAGTAAGTATATGGCTGTCTGTCCTTTCAGTCCGAGTGGCAAGCACATCATCTGTGGGTCTGAGGATCACTTCATCTATGTGTGGAAGACACACCATGAGTTCAAGTTCTCCTCAGCCAGGAGAGATCGGAGTGACTACTGGGAAGCCATCAAAGGTTAGTGACAACCAACAGGCTCCCAAACACAGGGACCTAGCAGGGGTGGAAATAACTTTAAAATTGCTAGTGTACTCCGGTACAGTGACACATGTAAAATCACTTGCCCTGATAATTTTTCCGCTATACAAGCCGTTTTCTTGTTGATTTTTTAAATAAATAACATAATTAATATTGGAAAGTCAACTGGACTCCGGTACAGTGTGATATACAAATTTGCTTGCTCAACAGAAAAAAACACTGGACTCGGGCGTCGGGCAATGGGTTATTTCCACCCCTGCCTAAGTGGAAACTTTAATAGGATTTGGTTTGTTTGTCTGTTTAATGCCACACTCAGCAATATTCCAGCTGTGTCGTGGATGTGTATAATAAATAATGGAGTCCTGACCAGACAATCCAGTGATCAACCTTATCTACACAGTTAGGATATGATGACGTGTCAACCAAGTAGTGTTGGGAATTGGCTAAAAGCTCATAATTGATGATTGGTTTATTACCACCGATCAATCATCGAAAATAATTGGTTAGCGTCATTTATGAAATTTGTTAATGCACAAAAAATAATGAAAAACAAAAAGGTAGTTATTTTGGGGGTTTGGGCAAAATTTCACATCTTTAAAGTATGACTAGTATGTTAGGAACATAAATTTCTTGGTGTCTTTAAGATAAATTCAATAATGACTTGGAACGCTTGTAGTGCTTATGAAATGTAACAGACAAAACCAACCTTTGAAAAATATTGTTGATGAAAACAAGTGTTCCAGAATTGTTTGTGTTCGATTATGAGAAAACATGATCGATTGCTTGGTCGTTTAGTCACTGCGACCAATCTTCGATTATTTCAATTAATCGGATCACCACTACAACCAAGTCAGCAAGCCTGACCATCTAATCCTGTTACTCGCCTCTCGCTACAGGTATGGGTTTGCTGAAGACCAATTCAAGATCGGAGCAATAGAATAGACTCAGTATATAAGTATATTTTTTAGCATTTTTTATCTGACATTTTCATTGTTTTCAGTTCACAATGCTGTAGTGACAGCTGCCATATTTGCACCCAATCCGTCCCACTTTTTCAAGAAGAAGCAACTAGAGGGAGCCGAGAAAAGCCAAGAATCTGAAGAACAAAGGGAGATAATCGTGTCAGCTGATTTTACTGGAGCCATCAAGATTATGACCAACTCGCCATGTTTGTGATACTTGAATGTATTCCTACCTTTAGTCAACATTGAGCAATAAACAAGACATTGCATCACCAGTGTGACCTATGGTGTATTGAAAGATGTAGAAGATGTGTGTCAAGGGTGCAGTATTCCTGTACAGTCTACAGATTCAGCCTGCTTGAGTTCATGGTGACAGGATTAGCTCCAGGAGTCACAGCAAAGCTTTACTGATGTGGTTGGAAGAATGTTTCAGAAGCAGAACTTGACAACACTGGTGACAGTTTGTTGTATTGAAAGATGTAGAAGATGTGTGTCCAGGGTGCAGTATTCCTGTACAGTCTACAGATTCAGCCTGCTTGAGTTCATGGTGACAGGATTAGCTCCAGGAGTCACAGCAAAGCTTTACTGATGTGGTTGGAAGAATGTTTCAGAAACAGAACTTGACAACACTGGTGACAGTTTGTTGGTAACCTTGATACCAGTTCCAAAATGGCGTGTGATCTTTCAACTTATGTTTCTTTCTGTAGAGATTCTTGTTATCACTCATACAGACAGATGAGACCAGGGTGAGGGGTAGCATTGTGGTAGAGGTGGTCATCCTGCACAGACAACCCGAGTTTGATCCTCTATGTTGTGTTGCTAGCAATCTCACAGTTACAAGTGACGTAAATCCACTGATGAACTGACAATCCTCGGATAGGGTTTTGCCTAAGTAGGGGTCTCACTGGGCCAGAACTGTGTTCACACAGAATGTTCATATGTATTTTGACCACATCTGAATGTTGCCAGTAGACTTCTGTGTCAGACAGATCAGTTGTATCACACAATCTTGTGTGAATTAACCCTGAGTCATGTCATTACTAGATGTCGAAACATGGATCTTTGTCTTCGAAATATGCAACTCATTGGTTCTTCACCATCCAAAAGTCTACATGTTCGGACAACAGCAATACTATTAGAAACCAGTCTTTTACGCTGATACGATACCTCTGAAGATCTGATGATACTCCATATAAGGTTATGTACCCTGTTGGGGCTACTTAGCCTCAGTGAAGGATGTTCCTGAACCAGAAATAAATGTTTTGATAGTTTGGCTTCCTTCTTTGAATGGGAAATTTTGATATTATTAAAGTAAAGATCACAAATAATTATTAGCTTGATCTCCTGTTTTCAGGGGTGATGGGTAGCCAAGTGGTTAAAGCGTTCACTCGTCATGCTGAAGACCAGGGTTCGATTCCCCACATGGGTACTATGTGTGAAGCCCATTTCTGGTGTCCCCCGCCGTGATATTGATGGAATATTGCTAAACATGACATGAAGCTAAACTCACTCACTTCTGTTTTGAGTTGAGTTGCCATGATGCCCCAAACAACCAAGTGTATTCAACAATCGCAACTATATATAGGTCTGGCCTTAATAATATGCTTTTAAAACAGGTCAATTCAGATTGTTTTTTTGCGTGAAAGAAATTGGACATGCTGATCTAGTTGGTTGACACACAATATACAAATTTCGGACTTTATTAATGGTCTGCTTCTGTGCTATGTGCAGGACACTGTTTTGTTTTTAATCACCGCTCACCAGTGATGTGAAATATGTTCATTTCTTTTAGACATTTTTGCTCAAAGTTACATCTCCGATATTTATCAATAATCAACAGTTAACGATTATCGATCTCTGTGATCTATGTCAACAGCCACTCTATAGAGATGTCAATACTGATTATCTTATAAGAAAGTTAATTCGAGTCAACCTTGTATGGAGGTGTCAAGTGATCTGCGGGTTGAGAGGTTACATAAAGAAAAGGTCTGTTTTTAATAAGATTGGGTCAACAGACCTATTCGGTGCCAAATTCTTAACTTGTTGATGTATGGTTGTACAAATGAGCCCCAGTCTTTTAATCATAATAACACAATGAACTGTTATATACCAGCTGGTCTGTTGTTATCAACCTACACAGTTTTAAACACGTTTTGTTTCCACTGTTACCTGTTTTTACCCATTTTAACCCATTTTTACACTTTCAGGGTTTACCAGTTGGTAAATGTGGGCTGTTTGATTAGATCTTTGCATAATTTGTCTGTTTCATGTGGATGAGTTTTGAGATGTCAGTCTTCTTTCTGAATGTGAATAGTCATTTCAAGAAGACTTTCTGCTGAACAGGACGTCCATACAAGATATCTTTGGGGACGAATATCTGTGATGATTTAGATTATGTACTTTCATGAAATACATTGAGAAAGTAATCAGCAAGCCTCCTCTCCTCTCCTCTCCTCCTCTCCTCTCCTCTCCTCTCCTCCTCTTCCCCTCCCCTCCTCTCTGCACCCCTTTCTTCCTCCCTCCCTTCCTCTCCTAGCCACACCCCTTGCTTCCCCTCCACACCCTCTCCTTGCCTCCACACCCCTTTCCTCCTCCCTCCTTCCTCTCCTAGCCACACCCCTTGCTTCCCCTCCAACCCCTCCCTTCATCTCTTCCCCTCCCTCCTCTCCACACCCCTTTCTTCCTCTCCTAGCCACACCCTTTGCTTCCCTCCACGCCCCTCTCCTCTCCTCTCCACCCCTTTCCTCCTCTCCTAGCCACACCCCTTGCTTCCCTCCAACCCCTCTCTTCATCTCTTCCCTCCCCTCCCTCCTCTCCACACCCCTTTCTTCCTCTCCTAGCCACACCCTTTGCTTCCCCTCCACACCCCTCTCCTCGCCTCTCTCTCCTTCCCCACCCCTTTCCTCCTCCCTCCCTTCCTCTCCTAGCCACACCCCTTGCCTCCCCTCCACACCCCTTCTCTCCTCTCCTCTTTTCTCCTCTAAAATTTCTCTCCTCCTGTCTCCCGTAATAGCACTGCTTTTTTGTTTGCATTTGTAACTTACTGAATATGTTCTTTTCATATTCATGCAAGATACAGAAATTATATATACTTCACTTACTTGTACCAAGAATTTATAAGTCTCAGTACTGACTCAGAAGGTTTCCCTGATACAACCTTCCATGGAGATGTCTTTAGATCTTAACGCAGAGAGGTGTCATATCAAAGTAAAATCGAAAGAGCTCCTATTTGTGAAATTGCATGTCACAGAACTCCAAGTTGAAATCCCCACATACATTATTTGCCATTGATCTCCTTTAATACCGGGCCGGCGGGGTAGCCTAATGGTTAAAGCGTTGGCTTGTCACGCCGAAGACCCGGGTTCGAATCCCCACATGGGCACAATGTGTGAAGCCCATTTCTGGTGTTCCCCACTGTGATGTTGCTGGAATATTGCTAAAAGCAGCGTAAAACCAAACTCAGTCAATCAGTCCTTTAATACCAAGCTACCTATAAGTTTTAATAGGGCACAGTATTTAGGCTGAAGGTGTACATGATAGTCCTCATTATGTTGTATATAATGTATATTTCCTACAGACAATAGGGCTATGTAGGAAGTGGCACTTATTTTACAGATCCTCAAAATATCAATTTCCTTTCAAAGTGAACACATTATTGCATGCCTTACATTATTTGCTCCATTATTTTTAATCCAGTAGATACTTGTTTTCATGGAGTGATAAAGAATCTGTCTTTCAGTATTTATGTTCCATTCTTTACTGCAGTCATATTACTAGTATTAGTATAATTATTATTATTATTATTATCTTTATATCAAAGTGTATAAATATAATGTTATTTTCATTTGTTTGAAATCATGTGGATCACACCAGCTGGCTGTTATTCATAGAAATACTAAACATTGGGCTCAGTATTGAGGTGGGGCATTGTACATATGTAGTGGGGGAAGTAAGACATGTTATTATCTGGTCATTGTACAAGAAAATCAAACAAGACAGCAATGACACATGTTTTCAGTGTTAGGATATACTATTGGTTTAGTCACTTATCTGTACCCCCTAGCCAAGGGGGGCGGTGGGGTAGCCTAGTGGTTAAAGCATTGGCTCCTCATGCCGAAGACCCAGGTTCGATTCCCCACATGGGTACAATGTCTGAAACCCATTTCTGGTTTCTCTTACAGGGATATTGCTAAAAGTGGTGTAAAACCAAACTCACTTATAGCCAAGGTTTTAGTTCATTTAGTTTCATCTCCATCATTGTATCTCTGACAATGTCTAGTATTTTGTTTAACATATATCACAAGTTTTCAGGTTTCGAAGGGCTCTCATTATGTTGAATACGGTAGTTACAATATACCCATCCATTGTTCTCCATGTGACCACATTCCTGCATTCCCCCATTAAGCAGTGTATAATCTCATTCTATAGCAGTACACAGTGGTCATTAATCCTGGCAGCACTGGGAATATTAACTCATATTGATTAGGAAATAACTGTAAATGGACAAAAGGTTTTACCGTTTTCAAGTCTGTAGTTTGTATTACAGACCTGATCATACAGAAGCTGTACCGCAACATAGATCTAGAACCTTGCTGTAAGGACAATAGGGGTGTTTGGTAGCCTAGTGATTAAAGTGTCTGCTCGTCACACCGAACACCAGGGTTTGTTTCCCCACATCAGTAAAAAGTGTGAAACCCATTTCTACTGTCCCAGATATTGCTGGAATATTGCTAAAAGCAGCGTAAAACAATTTGTGGCCCTATTCATCTTTCTGAAGGCAGCTGATAATATATAGTCATAATGCATAGCCATGGTACTAAGTTGCCATGGTTACACATTGCATTGGTTTTCATTTTTTGACCTGTTGGGAATATTGTGTCAAATAAGCTGAATTACATGTTCACATCAGTCCCAAAGGGTATTCATACAATATTGGTGGATATAGATCTGGGAGCCGTTGTACAAAACAATCTTAGCACTAAGACTACTTCAAGTCTATGTTATGGTATGGGAGTTTCGGTCACCTTAGCACTAAGATCGCTTTGCACAACTGCACCCAGATCTCCTTAAGTTTTAACATTAGATAACCCACAATTGTAACTACGGACAAAACTGAGTCTCCAGCACTGAAGATATCAACCTTAGTACTATTCTGATTGGTCAGTCGTGGGATTCACATCACAGTGAAACTCTGCTTATAACAGCCAATGCGGAGGCTAACTCACTCCCAGTGGAAGAAGGTTTTTACACTTGAAAGGCTTTTTGACTGGTTCTTATTGGTCTTTTGTATCAGTGTCATTTGAATCTGAGGAGATTGTGTTTCTGTTTTTATGATAGAATAATTTGCTGCTTTCCAAACTTTAGGAATTCATTTCTCTCTCTTCTACTTACGATAAGGGGTGGTGGGGTTGCCTAGCAGTCAAAGCGTTCGCCATTGTCACGCCCGAAGACCCAGGTTCGATTCCCACATGGGTACAATGTGTTAAGCCCATTTCTGGCATCCCCGATGTGATATTGCTGGATAATGGCTAAAAGCGGTGTAAAACCACACTCTCTTTCTTTATGAAGACAATCCAGGTTGTTACAAACAGTATCATAATACGCTTTAATGTCATTTGCAGATATATTTTTTTGCAGATTTAAGGAATTAGTGAATGTAAATATTTGTAAGAAATTCTATGTATTTATTTATGTACATCCATTCATTCATATATATTTTCTAATTGGTGACATACCGGCTCAGCAGAACTTAAGTTAGTGAAAAGATGCTGGTATGTTATTGTATTTTCCATCAGGAGCATTGTTGTAGGAAAGTAGCATTCCAACAACACTAGTAGTTCTGTATACACAACCGTCCTGTAACCATGCACATGGTAGTATGTGCTCGGATATGTGTTATATGTTCTGGGTTTCTGGAGATTCTGTAGCTAATTCCTGCCTCCCTTTCATGTTCTTCCCAGAAAATGGTTAGCGTCATGGTTAAAGCGTTCATTACACAGAAGCCATGGGTTTGATTCCCCACATGGATACAATGTTTGATGCCAATTGGATGTAGGTACCACCAAGAAAAGTCATGAGTACATAAAATACATGTATTTCGTGTACCGGTTTTAGTCTTGTTGAGCACCTACTGTGGGAAAATGTGAGGGGGGGGAAATTGTCCAAGGCCTGTTAATTATTATTCTCAGTTGGTGTAAGAACATTTAACATTGTATTTAATATATTCATGATATTTGTGTCCTCAAAAAGTGTAAAGAATTCAGAGTTTTTAAAGTTTTCAACCAAATATTTTGATGTACATGAAGGTGAATGATTTATGGACTGCTGGTATGAAAAATGTCAAATACTGCAATGTGTGCTGAAATAATGCTTGTAAAATCAGCTCTTACTTTTAGTACTTATTTGATCCATTGAAACAAAATGTTTCCAAGGATGCCATTGTTAGCAGTATGGAGTTCTACACCATGAACTGTGGCACCTATTACACCATGGCAACATGTCATCCCCTATTGGAATGTGAAGGGTAGGCAGTAAATGCACCAATTCATAATTTTGTGCCATTATAGGGAAAAGTTCAAACTGAAAGTTTACCATAGGCATTATCTTATATTTGGTGAGACGAAGTCCAGTGCTTCATTTCACTAGTGAAAAGTATGCATATTTTCATTTTATAGAAATAAAATGTCAAGAAATATGTTGAAGTTGTGTTGTGAATGGTTTATATTGAGATAAAAAAATGTATACTGGAGAAACACACATGGCTTTGTTTACAAAACTTACTCAGAGAAATACAGGAGTGAGTGAGTGAGTGAGATTAGTTTTATGCCGCACTCAACAATATTCCAGCCACATGGGTGGCGGTCTGTTAATAATTGAGTCTGGACCAGATAATCCAGTGATCAACAGCATGGGGATCGATCTACGCAATTGCTATATGATGATGTGTCAACCAAGTCCATGAGCCCGACGGTCAAGTCAGCTCTTATGACAAGCATGGGTTACTGAAGATCAATTTTAACCCGGATCTTCACGAGTGAGAAATACAGGAACCAGGACCATTAATGCAATGACATATTTTGTGACTGTTCCTTGCCAGATCCCTGTCTGGTGCTTGTGACCATCTGGAGAGACATACTATCTTTAAACATATGACTAAACAGAAGGGGCAGTAGTGTGTAGTATACACAAATATACCATGAACGGGATGCCAAGATGGTGTCTAACTTATCCATAAGGTCAAAAATTTGAATGTCTACATATACAATGGCTATGGAGGATCATTTGTCACAACCACTACTTTTGATATCAAAACATCATTTCGAACTTGTTCTCACAAATCCTGGGGCGGTAGGGTGGCCTGGTGGTTTAAGCCTTCACTGCCGAAGACCCAGGTTTGACTCCCCACTTGGGTGCAGTGTGTGAAGCCCATGTCTGGTGTTCCCTGCCATGATATTGCTGGAATAATGCTAAAAGCGGTGTAAAACTCACTCACACGAATCCTACTTCAGTGTGGGTACAATGAGTGAAGCCCATTTCTGGTGTCCCCTGCCGTGATATTGCTGGAATATTGCTAAAAGCGGTGTAAAACTGAGTTAAGCCCATCACTCCGTGATATTGCTGGAATATTGCTAAAAGCGGTGTAAAACTCACTCACACGAATCCTACTTCAGTGTGGGTACAATGAGTGAAGCCCATTTCTGGTGTCCCCCGCCGTGATATTGCTGGAATATTGCTAAAAGCGGTGTAAAACCAAAATCAGTTCAGTAAGTCAGCCTACTTCAGTGACTTTTAATGATGTTGATTTGAAGAGTTGACTCAATTGGTAAGAGGAGGTATTTGGTGTTAATTCACTCCGGATCAGTCCAGTTGTGTTGGAATATTTCTGTGTTTGCCAGCACTATAGCCGTGGTCTTGACTTCTGTGTTTGCCAGCACTATAGCCGTGGTCTTGACTTGGTGGAAGTAGTGAATGTCTGATGCCTGCAGTGTTTCAGGCTTTCCTCCGACATTAAACCGACATGCTGTGGGATGACAAGATGGCTGTTCATAGCAGTGGTCGCCCAACCCTTTATTTCTCCAAGACAACATCAGTGGCAATGTCTTTTGTCTTTTAATTTTTAAATAGTTTTAGACAATATTAAAACACAGTACTTTTCTTTGTGGTAGTTCAATCTAAAGAAGCAAACACGTTGGATTCAAGTTCTACGTCTATTCCATCGCGAGTTCCCCATTTATTCCATTTATTCAAATTTTCATGCAGCAAAAGATAGTTAGAATTCGTAGTCGTCAGAGCTGCAGTTCTGATTCCAAGCACGAACAACAAGCTCCACAGGTACTAGTACCAACAGCTCCCACATCCCAACGAGCTTCGTGGGACTCCAGTTTCCCAGAGAGGTCAAATCAACACAGTATTGACCAGGCTTTAAAGCAACTGATATACCAACCTGTTTTACGTCTTGAAACATAAAGTGTGGAAAGCTCCATTTATGGCTTGTGCTGAAAGGGCTCCTGTAAAAAGATGAATATATATCGTTGCTGCTCTAGCAGTACCTACAGGATGGACCTGCACCAACTACGTCATCCTGCCGCGGAATATCATATTGCTTTTGAGCCATTGGGGAGGCAATATACAGGCACGCAAAAGACGATAAAATGCACTTATGTTTGAGGAAACATCGAACTTTAAACAATTGCGACTTGGACATTCTAGAGACTTTCATGAGTTTGCTGATATGCTGCGTATTGCAGTTGTTGGTCTCTCAGAGGTCTGCCAAGATAGAGGATTTGGTCATGGGGATGTCTGTGTTTGTAAGTGTTGACCTATTTAACCAAGAGTGTTATACCTCAGTACACTAGATTGGAGAATTTCTTAATGTATCATTTGAAGTGGTATATCAGAAATCAGATGCGTAACTTCTTAGACAGGGTGGGTACAATGTGTGAAGCCCATTTCTGGTGTCCCCGCCGTGATGTTGCTGGAATATTGCTAAAAGCGGCGTAAAACCAAACTCAGTCAGTCAGTCTTAGACAGGGTCAAAGCTAAGCACAGCAGTGATGGTGGGGTTTAGCAAAGGAACTGAGTCATTGTTTCAGATGTCTTGGGGGAAACCCAATCAGTACCATACCTGAAAATTGTGGTACGGACAGTTGTCAATGTAATCGTCTGCTTGAAGACAATAGCAGAAGAAGCGATCAAAGGAAACACTGTAATGGTTCTGGAGTACATCGTACAGAGGAGTGAATGAGTGAGTGAGTTTGGTTTTACGCCGCTTTTAGCAATATTCCAGCAACATCACGGCGGGGGACAACAGAAATGGGCTTCACACATTGTACCCAAGTGGGGAATCGAACCCGGGTCTTGATCACAATTATGCACAGAAATGGTCTCATTTGAAGTTCTGTTTAATCGTTGACATACTGATAGGGATGGACTACCTGGAACTGCTCTCCTCCTGGGGTGATGTTTGTGGTTGGCCTAGGGAACCTGGGGCCTTGACAAACACCTTTGGGTTAGAAAAACGAGCGATATAACCTTTAGCGCCCAATCCTCTAACACCAAGTTTCTAGTGCCCAGTCTTCTTAATGCCCAAGAGGGACTCGACATGAAATCACTTCCTGAAGATCTCACTTCAGGATGGTCTTGGTAGCCCTTCTACGAACGCTCAAAGCTCCAAGGGACCTCACTGCACGGTTGGATCTCCACGTTTTGATTATTCTTGAGTACAGATACAATCTCAGCTTCGCCTTACGATGTCTGCTCTAAGAGTTAAGCATTCCAACGACCTCACTGCAAGGTTGGATCTCCACGTTTGATTATTCTTGAGTACAGATACAATCTCCGCTTCGCCTTACGATGTCTGCTCTAAGAGTTAAGCATTCCGACGACCTCACTGCAAGGTTGGATCTCCACGTTTGATTATTCTTGAGTACAGATACAATCTCAGCTTCCCGTTTGATTACGATGTCTGCTCTAAGAGTTAAGCATTCCGACGACCTCACTGCAAGGTTGGATCTCCACGTTTGATTATTCTTGAGTACAGATACAATCTCCGTTTCCCCTTACGATGTCTGCTCTAAGAGTTAAGCATTCCAACGACCTCACTGCAAGGTTGGATCTCCACGTTTGATTATTCTTGAGTACAGATACAATCTCCGCTTCCCCTTACGATGTCTGCTCTAAGAGTTAAGCATTCCGACGACCTCGTGGTTACTTACCCACATAACAAAACCTGTCAAAGGGGATCATACTAAAACTTTACATCGACGATTGTATTCAGTCCTATTCACACACGCACGCACGCACACGCACACACACACACTTCCCAATAATCTTGAACACTCAGCGTGCCCAGACAAGACGGCTGCTTCATCATTTTTAAGGCTGTCCGAGTTGATCGCCTTGTAACTTTTCAACTTCATTGTAGTGAACACTTTCCAAGGAAGTATGTTTGTCCCTCCAGACTGGACGGGAGTGGTTGTTGATTTTTCCCTCACAAGGGATATAACTATTTCAAAACTTCAGCCACGAAGGATGTTTTAATCACGTTAGTTCTAATTTAATCATTAGAAATGTTTCTATAAATCAAACTTAATGATAATTAAATTGTGTACATCGTTGTCTTTTGAAGATGGAAATGTTTAATTTGCAACTTACATGGTTGGTGGCCTTATCCTTGATGGGGGTTAAAGTACTGGAAAATTATTTCTCCCCGAGAGGTTTGGTTGGATTACATCATTCAGCCTTTTACTCATACCACATTTTAGTCGTGTATTTGTGAACGTCAACTGATGGTTGAAATGGCACACATTTGCCAGCAGCTGGAGGCATGGCGTATATCCTGGCGGGGAACCATGCCAAATATTGAAGTAATGAAGTCCCCATGGTAGTATCTGGTATGGACTGACTTTGGCCACTGGCGATCTGTAACCAGTTTGTATATTGAATTGTTGAATAATAACCTCTTCTTTTAAATGTTCTCAGACTAGTTTCTGTAAGTATAATCTGCGAAAATCTGGTTGTTATACGGTCCTTTGATGTTTTGTTCAGCATTAAATATCGATTTTTAATGCATGACTTTCTGTCGTAACTCTATGACTGTAAAATTGCCGATGTGACGTTAAAATTCAATCCACTCACTCTTTCAAAGTGATGGATTATAACACAGAAGCAAATACTACATAGATCACGTGAGGCACGGGTGGCCCAGTGGTCAGAATCCTATTAGTAGTGCCAGGATTCGGGAATCATAAGTTCGAATCCAAGGTTCTCGCTGATTATGACCTTGGGTTTGTAAACACCATACAACAGATTGGTTTCACAAAGTGGAAACAGTCGAATTCCTGTGTCACAATGGCCTTTCTTCGGCATCAAATCGCAACCTATCTGCTCCTGCATGAAGCAAATAAAGTCACATGAGAAACGGTGGGCGAATTACTGAAATGATCAGGGGCGCTATCTATAGGCAACAAGAAATTGTACTTTGTGCATATACATACTTTACTTTATGACCGGTATGTATATGCACAAAGTACGTTTTGTCTTCATTCATAATGGGTGCACCACAAGTGGGACGGGGTAAACTCACCTTTTCATAACACTTAGACGAATCGCTTGTGACTTATGATTCATAAACACCTTCGTAATATGTGCTGAATTGTACGGTGGAAATAGAATAAGAATATTTCTCGTGACACT